CATTGAGATCGCGTAAGTCTCCACCCCAACCTCCCTGGCGGAACCTTCCCCGCTCCGCTACGCAGGAACTTTACGGACTGTAAAGAAACGCCGCACCGGAAGTTGTAGTCTTGACTAAACTATCAGCAGTCCAGTCAATTCCCACTGAAGCAAGTTTCCGGAAGCGTTTCGCCGAGGCTTAGTCACGCCCCTTCCGCCGGGATGCTATAAAAGAGGGTCGCGTCACTTCCGTTCTCTCTTCCACAGGAGGCCTACACGCCGCCGCCTTTAGCATCGCCATGGTAAGCCTGAGCTGGGCAGTGAAATCCGGCGACATCGGGACCAGAGCAGGGAAGACTTGCTGTGGGAATGCCCGGGACGGCATGATCTGGGGGTCTCGCAGCTTTCTGCGTGGAGTCTTGGGTCGCATCTCAGTGGAGGGAAGACCCAAGGCTCCCAGTTCCGGGCAGCCGGACCCCGGGAAGAGTCACTGCCCGGGCGCGCGAAAGCCGCCCGAGGTTTGGGCGCGCGTGGAGACTCCCCGTCTCGGCCACGCAGGATGGCCTTGGGGGACCGGGCTTGGCACCTTCGGGAAACTGCATTTTGCCGAGCTGGAGCGCTCCTTGTTCCTGCTGCCGCTGCAGAGCTTGCTGCGGTCCGACGCCGGAGAGGCGGGCGGGGGTCGCGGCTCGCGGGGCCGGTTAGCAGCCGTGCGGGCTCGCGGCTGATTTCCCGCCTGTGTGTCTCAGTCTCTAGTGATCCCTGAGAAGTTTCAGCACATTTTGCGAGTCCTCAACACGAATATCGATGGGCGGCGCAAAATAGCCTTTGCCATCACGGCCATTAAGGTGAGTCGGCGGGGTGAGGGGTTGGGGGTCGTGCCAGCTCCTGGGCAGCGGTGGCCAGCGCTGCTTCCCCGTGGGCACTCCTGTGCTTCGTGGAGGGGTATTCCTTATAGGAACCTTGCTGCCTGGTTTGGAAGAGTTTAAAAGAAAATTTGCGGGTGGGTAATTAAGGACACTTTGTTAATCTGGAGGGGGGCGTTAAGCATAGGTTGGTGTTGGGTCATTTAAGCAGGAATTACAGCTCTGACTTCACAAGGTCTGTCAGGTTCTCCCATTTTGTGTGTGTGTGCTGTTGAAGGAGGGTGTGGGCCACAGCTTCTTGCACACAAACGAGGGAGGGTGGCCGCGGGATGAAGGGGGCTACGAGTGGACTGGCATCACGGGCTGCTGTGGTTTACAGCACGGGGGAAGAGCTTGCGCAGGACCTTGTCAGGTGTGACTAGGATATGTCCCTGAAAGGCTGTTCCTACAATCAGATGAGCCTTGAGGTGTTGTGGAGTGTGCGGCACAGCAGCTCTTCCCTGGTGGATATGAAAGCGGGGGGAGAGGGATCTCGGAGGGATTTATATGGCAGGCAGAGTAATTCCTGAGCCAGAAATAAAAGGTGAGTATGGGAAGGGGTTCTTTATACATAGCTGCAGGTAAAGTCGGGGTGGGCAGAGTAAATTAGCCTGTGTAGAGTGGGAAGTGAGATTGCTGCTTAGCTGGGGAAGGTGTGTGCACTGACAGAGCTCTGTGCTTTGCTCCTTGTTCTGTCTTGTGTATTTTGCTATTATTCTTTCAGATTGTTCCTACTCTTAAGGTGTGCCATCTGCCTGTGCCCCTTACACCAGGATATGGTGACTGCTGTTTGTGCAGAATTTCGAAATGGGACTTGTCCTGCCAAGTTGGCATCAGTTCTTCTAGGAAATACTAGTCTTTTGAAGTACAATGATGAAAAAAGGAAAGGCTTCAAAAGTAGATTAATTTTTCTTTCCTAGTTTCATCTGTAAACATTTAAATAAACTTGAGGGAGACTTGGACCCTAATCTCTGAATCAACCTGGTAAACTTTTTTTTTTTTTAGAATTTATATTATTGAAAAGTTATATCTGACTTTCCGCTGATTCACTCCCCAAGTGGCCAGAAACTTCTTCCAACTCTTCCACATGGGTGCAGGGTCCCAAGGCTTTGGGCCATCCTCAACTGCTTTCCCAGGCCACAAGCAGGGAGCTGGATGGGAAGTGGAGCTGCCGGGATTAGAACTGGCACCCATATGGGATCCTGGTGCGTGCAAGGTGAGGGCTTTAGGTGCTAGGCTATCGCAGGCACCAGGCCCTCAAACTGGTGGTTTGATCCTAGGAGGTCACTTAAGTTAAAGACCAGAAATGTCATCTGCTTCCTGGAAATACAAAGTAAGTTACCACAAGTGTCACTTAGAAACAAATCTGGAGTCTACACAGTGGTGTCACAGGTAAAGCTGCCATCCCATTCGGCTGCTGGTTCCTGTTCTAGCTGCTGTGCTTCCAGTCCAACTTTTCCCTGCTTATGGCCTAAGTGCTTGGACTGCCACACCTGGGAAGGAGACCCAGAAGAAGCTCCTGTTTTCTTCAGCCTGACCCAGCTCTGACTGTCGCAGTTATTTAGAGGGTTAACCAGTGGGCGGAGGCTCTCACACTGTTTAAGATCTTTCAGTAAGGCAGTGTTTTGTTACTCAAAGCTCCAAGTGTCCTTCCTTAACTTTTCCTGCCTTTTGCTGTCAGTGATCCCTGCCCTTCTAGGCTTGTTGCAGCTTCACTTCACACAGGGCCCTCTCAGCACTGTTGATTGCTAGCGAGTCTCCGGCATTCAGTGTCCCAGTGCATCTGGTTATTGGATGGATGTAGCAAGGGATGTCAGCCCTGGGCACAGGTGTTGGTGTGGTGCCATCAACATAAACATTTGAATTTTTGTTTCATTTGGGCAAGATTGGCTTGCTAGGATATGGCAAATATGCGGTTTGGGGGTTGGTCTATCCCCCAAAATTATGACCCTTAACAATTCTCCAGCAAGAACACCATTAAACTTGCAAGACCATGGTTTTGTGGCATCAGCTTGAAGAGGCAAACAATTCTCACAGGGAAAACAGCCATTTAACTACAACTGGAACAACAAGCAGTGTTCCAGGTGTTTTTGTCTTTAAAGTTTTATTGTTAAAGACATTTTTATTTGAACGGTAATTTACATAGAGGAAAAGATTCATAACTGGTTCACTCCCCAGATGGCCTCAACAGTTAAAGCTGAGCCGATCCAAAGTCAGGAGTGTCTTTGGGGTCTCCTGTATAGACACTGGGTTCCATGGAGTGGGGCTATCTGCTGCTTTCACACACCACGAGCAGGGAGAGCAGGGAGCTGGATCATAAGCGGAGCAGCTGGGAAAGGAACCAGCCTACTGCACTTAATGGTGCAGGATTGCCTGTTATAGCACTGTCCTCTTTGATGTTCAGCTCTGTGCCCTGTGTAAGAGTGAGTGTGTGTGGAGTTGTAGCAGAAGAGATCTTTGCCAGCTGCTTACCCAGGCACTTTATTCAGGAGCTGGGTCAGAAATAGCAAGAGACCTGGCATGATGATTCAGTGGTTAAATCCTTGCCTTGTGCACCACAGGATCTGATATGGTGTTGGTTCATGTCCCAGCTGCTCCACTTCCCATCCAGCTAGTAGCCTTGGGACCCTGCATCAGACCCATATTAGCTCAGCTCAGCTCTCTGGTTGTTGTGGCTACCAGATGGAACATCTGCCTCTTCCATAAGTCTCATCTACCTTATAATACAAATTATTTTTTTAAAACAGCAACTGAGGCAACAGCTTAACCCCTGTAACACCTTAATGCCCACCCCTCCTTTGTTTAACCACACTGGGTTCTATGCTAAGTGGCTGAAGAAGAGTGATGTGGGAAATTGTGCAACACTAGGTTGTTGCAGACCTAATGTTTGTGTGCCTTTTGGAAAAGAGACTTATGTGGGCACCCAAAGTCAAATTGTCATTCTGAAATCTCTTACTTCAGGGTGTGGGGCGAAGGTACGCCCACGTGGTGCTGAGAAAAGCAGACATTGACCTCACCAAGAGGGCAGGAGAACTCACTGAGGATGAGGTGAGGATTCGGGGGTTGGAGGTTGGGCCTCTCCCTAAAAGCACCAGCTAGATGCGATGTGTCCTGCTTGCCAGGTGGAGCGGGTGATCACCATCATGCAGAATCCCAGACAGTACAAGATCCCGGACTGGTTCTTGAACAGACAGAAGGATGTGAAGGATGGCAAATACAGTCAGGTGTGTGCTACATGGACCTTGCCCCAAGGAGCGTGGGTGTGGGAGGTTAGAGAAGAGGCAACCCTGACCCTCTTCCCCACATTCTAGGTTCTGGCCAACGGTCTGGATAACAAGCTCCGCGAGGATCTGGAGCGGCTGAAGAAGATCCGGGCGCATAGAGGGCTGCGCCACTTCTGGGGCCTCCGTGTCCGAGGCCAGCACACCAAGACCACTGGCCGCCGGGGCCGCACTGTGGGTGTGTCCAAGAAGAAATGAGTCGGCAGGCCTTTTCTGTTAATAAATCGTTTATATGCCGTGGCTTCCTTTGTGCTTTTTCTCCTTCCTGTGACAGGGACCTTGCCGGGCCCTGCTGTTCTTGTGTATGTGTTGAAGTCAGATATACAGAGGAAGGTCTAACATGACTCATTCCCCAATGCCAGGAGCCTTTGCAGGTCTCCCCCAAGGCTTGGGGCAGTCCTCGACCAGGGAGCAGGATGGGAAGTGGGTCCGCTGGGATTAGAACCGGCTCCCATATGCGATCCTGCCACATTCAATCCCGTTCCAATCACATGTTCTCGTCCACTTGTGGGGGGCTCTGTGAGGCTGCCCACGAGCGGGGCCCGCGGGGAGGTGGGATGGGACTTGGCGCACACCGTCGGAGGGTCTGTCGGGCGCGGGTGCAGCGGCGTCCGCAGCCTGGAGGGGGAGCCCGGCGGGTCGCTGTGGGCTGCTGAGCAGGACGCTGCCGCTCGGTGAGTCGCCTGTGGGGCCCCGTGTCTCGCGCGCCGTGGGGAGGTGGAGAACGGCCTGGCGCCCGTGGGCCGGCGCGGCGGTGAAGCACCCACCCGGCACGGGCGCGTGGAGCGACGCGCGTGTTCCGCTCGCCCCGCCCCGCCCGGTCGCGGCTTCCGGCGGCGTCGGTGATGCGGGCGCGCGCCGGCGTGAGGGGCGGGCAGCCATGGCGCCGAGCCTGGCACTGGCCGGGCCGCGAGGTAAGCCTCCCCGTCATCCCAGGCGTGGCCGGTCCGCGGCGGGCCCGCCCCGTTCTAACGGCGCTTTCCTTCCAGAACCCGTCTGACCCGCACACCATGCCCTTCGGCTTCCGGCGCCTCCTCCTGGCCGCCCTGCTGCTGCTGATTGTCTGGAGCCTCTTCGGGCCCTCGGGATTCGGGGAGGAGCTGCTGAGCCTCTCCCTCGCGTCCCTGCTGCCCGCCCCTGCCTCGCCGGGGCCGCCCCTGCTCCTGCCCCGCCTCCTCATCCCCAACCGGGAAGCTTGCAGGGGTCCCGGGGCGCCTCCATTCCTGCTAATCCTGGTGTGCACCGCACCGGAGAATCTCAACCAGAGAAATGCGATACGCGCCTCGTGGGGCGGCGTGCGTGAGGCCCGAGGGCTCAGGGTGCGGACGCTCTTCCTACTGGGGGAGCCCGGCTGGCCGCAGCCTGCCTGGGGCTCCCATGGGCACGACCTGGCATGGGAGTCGGCCACTCAGGGGGACATCCTGCAGGCAGCCTTCCGGGACTCCTACCGAAACCTCACTCTCAAGACCATCAGCGGGCTTAACTGGGCCCACAAACACTGCTCCATGGCTCGCTACATCCTCAAAACTGATGATGATGTCTACGTTAATGTCCCTGAACTGGTCTCGGAGCTGGTCCAGCGAGGAGGCCGATGGGACAGGAGCATTCAGGCCCAGGGACTGGCGGCCCATGGAGAGAAAAAGCGGGAGGGCAGCCCGGCTTTGGGCGCCCAGGCAGTACCTCTCCTGTACCTAGGCCGCGTGCACTGGAGAGTGAGCCCCTCGCGGCTGCCAGGGGGCCGCCATCACGTGTCTGAGGAGCAGTGGCCTCAGGCCTTGGGCCCCTTCCCGCCCTATGCCTCTGGCACAGGCTACGTGCTGTCTGCTTCTGCCGTGCAGCTCATTCTGAAGGTGGCCAGCCGGACGCCTCCTCTCCCTCTGGAGGACGTCTTTGTGGGTGTAAGTGCTCGCCGAGGTGGCCTCGCCCCAACCCACTGTGTCAGGCTGGCTGGTGCTACCCGCTACCCACTGGACCGCTGCTGCTATGGGAAGTTTCTGCTGACGTCTCACAAGCTGGATGCCTGGGAGCTGGAGCAAGCCTGGAAGCTGGTGGGAGGCTTGGATGGGGAAAGGCTTGCACCCTTCTGCTCTTGGCTGGAGGGAATCCTGGGTATCGTGCGGTGTCGGGTCATGGCCTGGCTTCATTAGCTCAGGGGAGCTGGGGCCACAGAAGCCGAGAGCAGCTGGAGGTCCTGAGCTAGCCCGAGGCAGGTGCCCTTGCTGGATGCAGCTGTTCATTTGCCTTCCTCACACTAGACCCTCAACCACCTGCCACCAAAGATATAGAGGACACCTAGGGACCTGGCCTGCCAGCCCAAAGATGGTCTTTAGGGGAAAAACAAAAAAACAAAACAAAACAAAACAAAAAACCACATGAGCTGTTTTCCAGCCAGGGCAGGAGAGGGGCACATGCCCCTCAATAAATTTGTCTCTTTACCTCTCCAAGTGCAGTGTGGTCTTCCCCAGCATGCTGGAATGCACAGGCTGCCAGGCATGCTGGGTGGGGAGGACATCTGTAGGCACGTGGGAAGAAGAGGGCCTTTCGGGGAAGGCGGCCACAGCGGCAAACTATGAAGGAGGTGGAGGCAGGCCCTGGGACCACTGTGTTCCTGGAGAAGCCCCATATGGGCAAGGTCCCCAGGATGATCCAGAAATTTAAAAAAAAAATCACTCTCTTCTTTAATAGCAACCCACCCCTGGAGCCAGCTGTCCTCTCTGTACTCCAGCAAATGGTCATTTCCACATGTAGTCAGCCACACTGGAGCCTGGCTCAGCGTGCAAATCTGTCCAGGGCGGATGGATGGGCCCCTGGAGATTTGGTCTTCTCTTGCTTCCGCTGCTTCTGCTGCTGCTCGAGGCTCTGCCGGACCTTGTCCTGGGGTAGGGGAAGAAAGGAAAAGTGTGGCTCAGTGAGTGGCGGGCTGGCAGGGAGAGGTGCCCCCCGGAGCCGCAGTCCACCCCAGCCAGGCGCATTTACCCTGTGCTCCTGGTCCATGACCTTCTTCTTCCTCTTCACCAAGCTGGCTGTAGAGCTGCGGCCTTTCTGCTTGGCCTTTGGCTGGAAGGGAGCCTTGGCCTCGGGGTCATAGCCCTGAGGGAGGGGACAGAGTGAAATCCAGGCAGCTGGCAGGAACCACTCACCGAGCCACACCACAGCGAACAGGATGGTGGTGGTGGGGGGGGGGGGGTTAGAGGCCTGCTCCTACCAGTCTCTCTATCCGCTCCTCCTTTTCCTGCTCCAAAGAGATGACGTCAACTTCTGCCAGAGCTCGTGGGTCCAGACAGATGAGCTCTGCAGGTACCTGGGGATGTCAGAAAGAGACAGGATGCAGCTGAGTCCCACAGTTCCCAGCCCTGAGCCACACAGATACCTCCAGCAGAGAGCTTACCTTCTCCAGCAGGGCCTTCACCTCCCATTCCTGGCGCTGCTTCCGGCTCCTGTACGGGTTACTCTCCAGACCATCAAAGTTGGGCTCAGCAGCTCCTGAAGAGGGGGCGTGCAGCTGTGAGGAAGAACTCGCCTACAGCTCCACCTACTGAGCCCCTTGCCCTTCACTGTCCCAGGGCCACCCCAGTTCCCCCACTGCAGTTCAGGCACGTGCAGCCCTGCTGCCAGGCTCACTCACCAGGAACCAGCATGCTCGTGATGCCTCCACTGTGCCCCACGCCCAACACGTCTTCAAAGGGGCAGAACTGAAGTCCGTGGACATGGCCTGAGAGCCGGTGGGTGAGGTAGGGCTGCTCCAGGGAGGGCAGGCTGGCCTTGCCCTGACCTGACCAGATGTTGATGACGTCGCCCATTCCTGCAGCCAGCAAGCCTCGCTGGGAGAAGGCCAGGTGTCCTGCCCCCTGGGGCAGGGTTCGAGCACTCAGAGGCTGGAACGTTCCTCGTAGGTCAAAGATTTTCAGCTGGTGGTCGAGACCGGATGTGGCCATGTACCTGGGAGGGGGAGAGGAGTCGAGCTGTCAGGGTTTATCAAGCAGTCTAGACTTGCGGCCAAGTCCAGACGGCACATCTGAACAGGGAGGAGACTTGCACTGACATTACTACTACCACCAGTAGACAGTGTCCTCTCAGCCAAGCTTGTGCACTTGTTTTTATGAAGATTTATTTACTTATTTGACAGAATCACAGAGGGAGATCCTCCATCCTCTGGTTCACTCCCCACAGGGCCAGTGGACCCAGGAACTCTCAGCTGGGTTGGGTTTGGGGAGGGGAGCTAAGCACCTGTTATCACCAGCTGACTCACATGTGCATTAGCAGGACACTGGATTGAAGCAGAGTAGCAAGGACTTACTAGGCACTCTGGTGTAGGATTTGGGTGTCCCAAATGACGGCCTCAGTTGCTGCACCATGACACTCACCACTCTGCTACGTTTATTTCCCATCTGCTGATGTGGAGCCTGAAGCTGAGAAAGCAAGTCTAACCTAATGAATGTGCAGCTAGAATTCAATCCAGGCCTGGGTTTTCTGGTTTTTTTTTTTTACTATCTATTTTCATCTATTTGAAAGATGTGAGAAAGACAGCTTCCATTTACATGTGGGTTTACGCCCCACAGGCCCACAGCAATCAAGGCTGCGCCAGGTGGAAGCCAGGAGTCCAGAAGAGGGGCAGGGTCAGTGAGCACTCAGGAGGAATCATGCACTGCTTTAATTGTGCTCTTGAGGTTGGAAGACAACATGTTTGCAAAGGGCAGAGAGCTTGTTCACCTGTGCTATGAGCCCTGGTGGGAACTGAAGCATTTCATGAGCATAGACTCACCCACTGACGCAGCCTCACACAGCCCAGCTGGACACTTTGGACAAGCAAAGCTAACCAGGACCCTGCTTTGACCACAGAAAGACCACATGCAAGCCAGGAATTACTAAGGGCTCCAAGACACAAGGTCATTAGTGACCCAAGAACTAGCACCACAGGCAGGCTCCTTGATCACTAACAAAGCTAGGGAAACACTCGGCCAGGAGTCCAGGCCACACCACCATACTGAACTTGTGAGAAGCAGTGTAGCATGCAGGATTCAGTCCTTCTCCTAATGCAAGCTTCCAGAAAGTTCCTTGAGAAGATGTTCAGCTTCATATCTGGTGTCCCCCTGGCTTGTCTGCAAGTCACCAGGGAGGCTGGAAAAGCAGGGATGGACCTAAGGGCCAGAGCTACTGCACAAGACGTTGACCAGACCCGGGGCTTCAGAGAACTAAGTGATTCAGGCCGAGGTGCATGAGTGGCTGATCCAGGCAGCCTGTGGGACAAATGACAATGTAACCCACTAGCCCACAGATGGCAGAAGGCCTGGAGCAGACCTCACCACCTTGCTAGTACCTGGTCAGTACTGACAAAGGGTATAAAAAGCAGAATCGTATTACTTGGCCCCAGAGCTACACAGGTGCACAGGGCCAGGGGGTCCAAACATCCCAAAGTCGGTGACCAACCTTTCAAAGTGCACTGTCTTAGGATTTTAACTCATTTTAAAAAAAGCAATACCAACATCTTATATGCACACCAGTTCAAATCCCAGCTGCTCTACTTCCTATCAAGCTTCTCATTAAAACGCTGGGGAAAACAATGCAAGATGGCCCAAGTCCTTAGGCCTCTGGCACCCAAGTGAGAGACTCAGAAAAAGTTCCTGGCTTTGGCTTAGCTCAGCCCTAGCCATTATAGCCACTTGGGAAGTGAACCACTGGATGGAAGACCTCTTCCATATTTAGAAGTAAATGAACACTCTGTATCTAATAAGTCGAAGATTCCTGGGCAGCCATGTAAAAGGACAGCAGCTGACAGGAAAGATCATCGGACAATAACTCCTGGGACGTACTAAGAAGAGCTAGATGCTGCAAACTGGCTATGGTGCTCACGCCCAGAGAGGCTAAGCAGGAAAAGCAGCAGGCATGGCAGGAACCCCTGAAGAAAAGCAGTAGGAGTTTCAGAGTTGCTCATAAGTAGTGCTCCCCCAAAAGCACTTGGGTACCTGGAAAATATTCAGCAGAGCTGAGATTCCTGCTCATCCTGAGAGCTGAAGAACATGGGAGCCCTGGAGTCAGCTAAAGCAGCCACAATCTCTCAGAGAAACTGGGGGAACAGGACAGGTGCAGAAGTTACTGGAGGAGGGTGACCATCCAGGACTGGACAAGTTACATCTGGGACCTCAGCTAACAACTGCGCAGGAGTGTGGTATTTAGCCTAGCAGTAAAGATGCTCACATCCCAAACTGGAGTGCTTGGGCTGAACTCCTGGCTCTGCTTTCTAACTCAAGCTTCTGGCCAGACCCTGTGTAGCAGCGGTGATGGCTCAGGAAGATGGGATCCTGCTGCCCGTGTAGAGTATTGAGTTCCTGTATTGAGTTCTCAATCCCAGTTTGACACCAGTCAGCTCTAGTCATAGAGTATTTGGGGAGTGAACCAGTGGAGGTGCATATGATCTTAATCATTCTCTAAAGTAAATAAGTAATAATGCACTTTAAAAAAAGTAGCAGACTTTTTTGTCATACAGGGTAATCCTCTGCCAGCAGCTTTGGCATGCCATATGGCCCAGTTCAAGTCCCAGCTTCTCCACTTCTGATCCAATTCCCTACTAATGGCCTGGGGAAGCAGTGGAGGATGGCCCAGATCCATGGGCTCCTGCAGCCACATGGGAAACACAGAAGCCCCTGGCTTTGGATCAACTCAGCTCTGACCATTACAGACATTTGGGAAGTGAACCAATAGACAAAAAAATTTCTGTCTCTTCTCTCTATATATACCAGCCTTTCCAATAAAAATAAATACATCTGGGGCCCAGCACCGTGGCCTAGCAGCTAAAATCCTCACCTTGAACGTGCTGGGATCCCATATGGGCGCCGGTTCTAATCCCGGCAGCCCCACTTCCCATCCAGCTCCCTGCATGTGGCCTGGGAAAACAATCAAGGACAGCCCAAAGCCTTGGAACCCTGCACCGGTGTGGGAGACCAAGAAGAAGCTCCTGGCTCCTGATCGGCTCAGCACTGGCTGTTGCAGTCACTGGGGGAGTGAATCATCGGACGGAACATATTTCTACCTCTCCTCCTCTCTATATATATTTGACTTTATAATAAAAATAAATAAATATTTTTAAAAACTAAAAATAAGTACATCTGAAAAAAAAAAGTAGGAAGTAGCTGGATAACCTTGCCAATCATCGCCATAAATTAAGGCCACCTGTTCCAGTATTAAAGCATAACTGGAAGAGTACACCAGGGCAGCCTCAGTCATTTTCCCCGCACCTCACAGTGAAAGCAGCCTGACTCCCAGGAACAAGAAGAAATAGCAAGTTTGGAAGTAATGAGTTCACCCAATTTTCCCTAAACCTTGATCCTTCCCACACTGATCAACCATGTAATCATTATTAAAAATAAAATTAAAAAAATAATGAGAAAAAGAAAGCAGGTTGAAGCAAACACACTCCGCATGCCTGACAGGTGAAAGGATTGAGCAGAACACGCCGACCTGAATAGCAGTGGCCACTGCAGACCGTCTCTCAGGCACACAAGCCAAAGCAGGTACCCCAGCCAGATCCGCAGAGCTGAGTGGAGAGGCAGTGACTGACAGCTCCCACCTGCTGCTTCTCTCCCTAAATGCCAACAATGGCCAGGAATGGGCCAGGCTGAAGCCAGGAGCCCAGAACCCAATCCAGGTCTTTCACATGGGGTCCAGGCACCCACGTACTTCGGCCATCACCTGCAGCCTCTCTGGGTGCACACCAGTTGGAAATGGAAGCACAGCCGAGACTCGAAGCCAGGCACTTGGGTCTGGGATGCAGACAATTCTGCTCATCTGCTCCCCAAATACTTAAAATAGCTAGAGCTAAACAAGGTTGGAACCAGGCACAAAATCCTGATCTTCCAGCTGGCAGAGCGCCAAGTGCACGAGCTGCTTCACATTAGCAGGATGCTGGCCCTGGGAGCAGAGCGGGATGTGAACCCAGGGATTGAATACAGGAGGCGGGCAGGCCAGATGCCAACCACCAGGCCAAACAGTCCCACAATCACCCTCCGTGATGAGGACTGTGATCTTGGCATTCATTAGTTGCAAGTCATATGCTAAACCTCACTTGCCTTAGCCGCCTTTAATGTCTACAACAGCTTTATTGAGGTTTTTGACCAAGGCAGTTTATTCTCCCAGCTGTCTCAACAGCCAAAGCCGGAGCAGGCTGAAGCCAGGAGCCACTCACTCTAGGTTCCCCTTCATCAGCTGCTTTCCCGTGTGCACTACAGGAAGCACTATCAGTCAGCAGCACAGACTCACACCAGCACAATACAGGATGCGGCTTCAGAAACAACAGTTTTATCCTGCTGTGCTGCAACATCAGCCCCAAGGTTTGTTTTTTTTTTTAATTTGGTAAAAGAAAAAACAAAACATTTTAAGATATGAAAATTAAATTCTGGGCCCAGCGTGATAATCTAGTGGCTAAATTCCTTGTTTTACACAAGCTGGGATCCCATATGGGTGCCAGTTTGTGTCCCAGTGGCCCCACTTCCCATCCAGTTCCTTGCTTGTGGCATGGGAAAGCAGTGGAGGACGGGCCAAAGCCTTGGGAACCCTGTACCTGCACGGGAGACACGGAAGAAGCTCTTGGCTTCAGATCAGGTCAGCTCCGGCTATTATGGCCACTTGGGGAGTGAACCAGCAGAGAGATCTTTTTTTGTCTCTCCTTTCTATAAATCTGTCTTTCTAATAAAAAATAAATCTTAAAGAAAAGAAACATGGGGGCTAGCATTACAACACAAAGCCAGGCCACCACCACTATGCAGCATGTACATGGGCACTGAATTGAGTCCCAGCTGCTCCACTGCTAATGCGCCTGGGAAAGTAGTGAAAAATGGCCCAAGTCCTTGCGCCCCTGAGGGAGACCTGGATAGAGTTCCAGGCTCCTGGCTTTGGTCTGGCCCAGCCCTGACAGTTGCAACCATCAGACGAGTGAGCCAGTGGATGGAAAATCCCTGTTTCTACCTTTCTTTGTCACTCAGATGATAAATCTTCACAAAAGATGAAGTCTCTGTAGAGATCAGCATTAACAGAAAAGCAATCATAATCAACTTTCATAATCTGCAACATTAACACTGAACCTCAGTTAAGCAAATGTTACCCAGAGAGACTAACTCAGTTCTTCCCACTAACAGACCTGTATAACCAGTATAACCTTCCCAGTAGCCCCCACTTGGGGGAAGCCTGCATCCAATCCTGAAGTGCCTGGTTCAAGTTCTAGCTCGCACCCCTCCAACCCAGCTCCCTAACATGCACCTGGGGAAACAGCAATGATAGCTCAAATGCCTGGATCCCCGACACCCTTGTGAGAGACCTGGATGGAACTCCTGGTGCCTGGCTTCCACTTGTTATGGTCATTTAGGCTGGGAAACCAGTGGATGAAAAACTCTCTTTGCCTTTTTCTCCATTGCTCTGCCTTTCAACTAAGTTAATAAATCTTAGGGAAAAAAAATATATTTTGTAAAAGTTTAAATTTTCTCTCTTGTGGTTTAAGTACATATAAGTGCTAGTAATGTGGCATAGTGGGTAAAACCACCAACTGCAATGGTACAATCCCATACATGAACCGGCTCAAGTCCCGGCTGTTCTACCTCTAACATCCTGCTTATGCAACCAGGCAAACAGCAGAAGATATCCCAAGTATTTGGAGGCTTGGCACTCACTTGAGGGACCTACATCAAGCTCCTGGCTTCAGCCTAGCTCAGTCCCAGTTGTTAGAACCATTTGGGCAGTAAAGATTTCTCTCTCTCTTGGGGCCTGGATTGTGTCTGGCTGCTCCCTGCTTGTAGGCTAGAAAAGCAGCGAAGGACGGCCCAAAGCCCTGGGACCCTGTACCCAAGTGGGAGCCCTGGAAGAAGCTCCTGGCTTCAGATCGGCTCAGCGCCAGTCACTGCAGCCATTTGGGGAGTAAATGAGCAGATGGAAGATCTGTCTCTCTGTACCTCTGCCTTCACAATAAAAAAAGTCTCTCCTCTAACTGTCCCTTTAAAATTAATAAACACATAAGGTGGGGGTGGGAGAGCAGGGCAACACAGAGGCATAGCAGGCTGCTGCTCTGCCTGTAGCACCAGCATCCCATATGGGCACCAGATCACATCTCTGTTGCTCCACTCCAATCTAGCTCTCTGCTTATAGCTTGAAGTCACTAACACAAAGCAGTGGAGAATGGCCCAAGAGCTTGGGGTCCTGCACCCACACGAGAGATCCAGAAGTTTCTGGGTCCCATGGAGCATTTGGGGAATGAACCAGCAGATGGAAGACCTCTGTCTCTCCTCTTTCTGTAAAAATTGCTTGTCAACTAAAATATATATATCTTACCAAAAATAAATAAATAAATAAAAGTGCTACACAATATCCCTGACTTTGCTTCCTGGCTAGCGAGGTCTAAAATATTTACCATCTGCCTCTTCAAAGAAGGGCTTCCGGCCCTTGGGGCAGGGTGGGGCACCATGTAGTATGCCAAACTTGCATGGCCAGGCAGCAGGCACACCAGGACGTCTGTGCTACCAAAGGTACTCTGCCTGTCGTAGCCTACAGCTGTGATATCAACACTTGAGCCCAGTGAGGTGACTTACGTGCCTGTAGCATCTACTGCCACAGCCCGGACACTACCACGGTGACAGAGCATCTTCACCAGCGGCTCCTTTACGGCGGGGCTCCACAATGACACGGTCCCTGCGGGTGAGGAACTTTAGTCACTAACACAAACCTGAGCCTGTGGGAGACGGAGGTCCTCCAGCCTGTGAGCGGGCCAAGCTCAAGGGGAACGTGAAGGGACTCACAAGATACAGGCTGACCTGGGTCAGGACCGAGCCAGGGACTGACCATTGCTATGTCCAAGGTGGATGACAGCGTTGTAAGGGTTTTGTGTCATGACACTGAGCCTCCCGGCCCGCGCGTTCAACGCAGCCACGATCTTCCCCACCGACACGTCCAGGTAGGTCAGGAAGCCTGTCTCTGACTGAAACAGAGAGACGGGCCCTGGTGGTCCTCTCACACCCCTCTTCAAGGATCTCCCCGGGGGCAGCCCCTGTGCCCGCCATCACGGCCCCTTACAGCTGTAGCCAGGAGGAAATGGAAGGGCAGGAACTCGAGCCGCGTCACACGGTCACAGCGGCGGACGCAGTGGAGCTCGATGCCTTGGTTGTCATAGATGTGCAGCCAGCGGTTCTGCGCGACAGCAAGCAGAGCCTCAGAATGCAGAAACCTTGGGGCAGAGGAAGAATGGCTCCGTGGAAAACGGCACCCTGGGCTGTCACGCCCCCACACACCAGCCCTGCCCAGCGACAGAGTCCACTGACCGGATGTCCTGTACTGCCTCCATGACATTGATCTCACACATGAGCTTCTTCGTCACCCAGTCAAGGGCAGCCACGTGACCCCGGCGCCCTCCTAAAGCCAGGTGTCTGTTAACAGTGAGGAACGAGCTGAACGTTAGTACAGGAAATAGCCCGACTCAAAGAACACGAGGTCTGCCCCATGCCAGCTGCCCCATCCAGGTAAGAGGAGGCAAGTGACTGCACACGCTCACCCCCACACCCAAGCACACAGGCCTTCCTTCCCCTCACCCACACCCCAACATCTGCTGCCTGAGTCCGAGGTGGGCATGGCTGAAGGGTAAGAAAACAGGAGCACATCTTGGTTGAGAAGACTGAGTTCCAGCTCACCTCCCTGTGCGAGAGTAATTCAGTCGGTAGGGCCCAAACTGCCGCAGATTCAAGTCAAAGTGCTGGCGAAGGGGGTTTGGAAAGAAAAGCAAAATCAGGAAGCAGTTAGGTCCCCTGCATGTCTGTTCAGAGCCCTTGGCTTCCACTCCCAGCTCCACTCCTGACTCCAGCTTCCTGTCAGCCAGACCCTGAGAGGCCACAATCAGGCTGAAGTCATAGGGTTCCTGCATGGGACTCCCTGTTGGGGATACCTCCAATCTCACCCCCGCCCAGTCCCAGAGCTTGTGGGCCTGTGTCGAATGACACAGCAATGGAGTTTCTGCTTGTTTTCTCTTGGTGTCTGCCTTTCACATAAATGAGAACCAGTAAGTGGGTCCCCCCTCCGTTGCCACCTCCCCACTCTCTGTCCTCTCCCCCGGCACCACCCACCAACGCCAGGGCCTCTTTCCCTCCTCAGCCTTACCTTGGCTGCACTGGCAATGTCCACAGCCTCCACGATGTCCGCCTGGCGGATCTTCGCTGTATCTTCCCCATCTTCACCTTCCAGAAACCTGGGAGCGACGGTTTAGGACTGAGGTGGGAAAGGCACCACCAAAACAAGCACAGCCAATCCCACAGAGCAGAACCTGGCAAGATCCCGGCGCGGGTCTGCTCACCCCGGTTCCTCCGCCAGCAGCAGCTCAGAGCGGGCAGCTTTGGTACTGGTCTCCTCTTCCTCAGCCTCGGCAGCCTCAAGTCGGCCTCGGGTCTTGGACTTGGGGCGCGGGAGCTATAACGTTGTTGGGAGACGGCCAGATGGGATCAAGGCAGAGCACCCTGACCCGGCCCCCATGCACGTCCCCTCAGACACCCCCAGCCTCCAGCCCGTAGCCACTGCCCCAGCTGTCTCACCGGTTTAGCTTTGTCAATGCGACGGAACTTCTGAGCCGTCTCCACAGGGACCGGGGCGGGACCTGGGAATGGGTCCTGGGCCTGGGGCCGAGAGCAGGCAACTAGCACATGGCTTCGGGTGGACCCCAAGCCTTCCACCCGCCGCCGCCACCCTGGCAGGTGCAGGGCTCACCCCGGACAGGCTCCGTTGGGGCTCCGGCTTCTTCAGTCCCCGAGATTTCTTTGTGGAGACCCGGGACTTCTTGGGGATGCGAGCGTCTTTCGTTTTCCGGGGACGGGGGTCCCGATTCCGCTTCTTGCTAGGAGGAGGTCCCGGAGAGGCCCCCGTGGCGCTCGGTGTGGTCTCCTCTTCCCAGTACCGCCGCGGTCTCTACGAGCAAACCAGGAGCCCCGGTACTCCGCGGCCCTCGTCCCGCCCTCGGACCCCACAGCTAAGGCACCTCCCTTCTCGTCCACGGAGGTCTGTACCTTCCTCTTGGTCTGCAGTTTGCCCTTCTTGGGTGGGGCATTCTTAGCGGGCTTGGGGGCTGTCTCCATCTCAGCCATCAGAAACACGACCCACGTGCAAAACTTCCCTTCGGTTGTCCCGAGGTTCGCGTAGAAATTCCCGGAAGTCCTCTTCCCACTTCAGCCAATCAGCGCCGTACCAGGTCTGAAGTCTTGTAGACGCCATCGTGAGTGAGGGCACGCTCCCACTGAAGGGGCGGGGCCTTGCCTAGGAATCGCCCTCCGGCTTAGCAGCCTATCCCCGACTACCGTAAAAGACAAAGCATATCCGGAGCAGAAGCCGAGTAACAGTGTAGTCTTTTTCCGGATTTATCCAGGCATTTCAGCCGAATGCCACTTAAGGTAACAAAACTACATTTCCCGAAAGGCCATCAGAAGGCAGCCTCCGTTTCGGTCCTTCCCAGCATTCCTGTTTACTTCCGGGTGTGTGAATACAGCGGGGAGAACGTGAGCTTCGATTAAAGAGGGACTGTATCTGTCGTCGCCCTCCATCCCCCAGGGTCGGGTCGACTAGACATCCCGGACAGAGAGACGCTGCGGTACCCCGAAGGCGTGCCTCTTGCCAAGAGGACTGCCGCGTCCTAGGCCGGACCGGAAAGAGGGCTCGGCACCTTGCCGGGGGGAGACCCAGCGCGCTGCTCCCGCCCCCCTCGGGCTTGCCTCCCCACCATGGCCGAGCTGATCCAGAAGAAGCTGCAGGGAGAAGTGGAGAAGTACCAACAGCTACAGAAGGGTAAGGGGGCCGGGTCTCAACCCACTCACGACCCTCGGCTTCGCCAGAGCCCCGCAGACGCCCTCCTGGACCGGGGCTGCGGGAGCCGGCGGCGCTCATCCTGTCCCTCTTCCTCCCCTAGACTTGAGTAAATCCATGTCAGGGAGACAGAAGCTGGAAGCACAGTTAACAGAAAACAACATCGTGAAGGAGGTGAGGGGGACTGGGCGTGGTGGGGGTGAGGAGGGACCTGTGCCGCTGCCCTAGTTCTGATCAGGTGTGTTCTCTCCTCTCCCCAACCAGGAACTGGCCCTACTGGATGGATCCAACGTGGTCTTCAAACTTCTGGGCCCCGTGCTGGTTAAGCAGGAGCTGGGGGAGGCGCGGGCCACCGTGGGCAAGAGGCTGGACTACATCACAGCTGAAATGTGAGTCCGGGGTCCCCACCCCATGCCACTGCACTAGCCTCCCTCATTTTCAGTACCCTAAGGCCCGCTAATTGCTCCCTCTCTCCTGCTGTGTCTCCTCTACCCCCTCCACAGTAAGCGATACGAATCCCAGCTCCGGGACCTGGAGCGGCAGTCGGAGCAGCAGAGGGAAACCCTTGCCCAGCTGCAGCAGGAGTTCCAGCGGGCCCAGGCAGCAAAGGCAGGGGCACCTGGGAAGGCCTGACCTCATGGGGTGGGGTGGGGGAACTCTAGGGTCTGGACTATAGTAGCTAATAAAATGTGAGAATGCCTGGCTCCAATTTCTGACCAGCCACTTGTGTGCTGTTGTCTCTGCTTACCACCTGGCCTCTCCCTATATGTACACCACCCACATTTCCCCCTCAAACCATGTCCTAGCAACAGGAATCTGTAATGGGGGTGCTGCTTCTTTCTTGATCCCAAACACTAAAATGTCTCCAAGCTTTCTTCCTAAAAGGCAGGAGTTATTAAGAAGCAGGACATTTGCAGTCTAGCATGTTGTTGGGAGTGGCAGCTGATGAAGAACTCAAAATTTTCTAAAAACCCAGGAGACAGTGGGATTCCCTTCCTCGCTGTGCCTGTCGGCGCCTCCTTGGACTCAAGGAGGAAGGGGATGAACAGGTACGTTTACAGCAGATGAGAGCTCTGTGCTCTTCTCTCAAGAAATAAAAAAGGTTTATTTTGGTGCAATTTAAATCTTGAATCATGCATTTATTTCCCGTAATGTGCCTTTTCTGTATACTTTTTAAAGGCCCTTCACATTCCAAAATTTTTGTGCCAAAATAAACAGCTTCTCATTTGCTTTTTTTTTTTTTCAAACTTTCTGAAGTCCCCTCATACTTGTCACCTCCCATGTAACTCCAGAATCCCAGTTCTTTAAAGCCCCGGCCTTCTCAGAATCTGCAACTTAGACTGATGGGAAATTCCAACACAGTGCTTTATGTTCAAGCATCAGGTTGTCCACAAAGTTGTTCTTTGGTTTCCTGGCCCTAAAATTGTCTCTTGATTTGAAGCCAGGGGAGTTCCTACTGACCACTTTAGCCCCTGCCTCCTATGGGTCCTTTCTTGAGTGAAGGAAACTACATATTATTCTGAGGAAGCCATTCTCCACAAGACCTCATTTTCTGCTCCTGTGGCGGGATGGACACTGTGCTGTTCCCTGGCCAAGCTCACACAACCCCCTCCTTCAGCTGACACGTGGGCACCAGGCACCGCAAGGACAGGTAGAAGAGTCCAGGTAGTGTTTGGTTTATTAGTGTTGTCACAGTGACAGGAGCCCCTGTGAAGAAAAGACTCCCACTGGAACCCACTTGCCATCCCGGTGTGCCCTGGGACTTGGAGCTTCTTGGCTTTCCCTTCCTGGCCTCCTCCCCCATCTGTTTCTAGGCCTTGCCTTGATCTGTCAGGTGTTGTGGTGTGGCCAGGAGTTAGAACCAGTGCCTCTTCCCATGGCTCATCATGCGCCACGTTCACGGGAGGTAGGGAGCTCTACACAGGGGCCCAGCTTGGTTGCGAGATGACCAGCTCCCACAGGACTGGTAAACCAGCGGCACTTCACTGCCCCAGAGCAGCTGACCACCATTCTGAGGTTCTGTCCCAGTGCGGCTCGGTGGCCACCTCGCGGCGTGGCTACCACATCTCTGAGCACCATGACTCCTCCTCCTGACAGGTATCCTCTTCAGAACAGTGCCCGTGCAATCTTCCTCCCTGTGGCTTTGATCCTGGGGAAAGAGCCCCCACCTCCTTCACTGGGGGGTGTCCCGGAGGCTGAGGGACCACTGGCAGAGCCCATGGTGGCATTAGAAGGCTTTCGCCGCTGCCGCAGGAGGAAGTCGTGAGAGGCTCCGTCCATGGCGTAGAAGACATTCGCCGAGGGCGGGATGGTCAGCTCTGAGGGGTCATGAGGTGAGAGTCAGGTATAATCAGCCATCCCTGCCGAGTGCCCAGATAGCTGAGCACTCCCCGAAAGGCACCACTCTCCTCCCTGGCAGTTCTTCCCGCTGGCCCCTGACCTCGCTCCCCTGGAAGCAGCTGAACCAGCTCGTACTCTGACGCCACGGCGTGATCACAATGGTTTTTCTTAAGGACACGACTGATGACACTTGGAGCCTTGTCCTGGCTCGTCACCTGGCATAATAGGAGACAGAAAAAGCAAATCATTGGCCCTAATGACCTGTGCTTCCCATTTTTCCAGTCCCAGCCACCCACCAAACCTCCCAACAGGCATCCTATGTCCGAGACACTGTAAAAGGAACAGTGTGGATGCTGGGACCCCATGAGATGCCCAGTCGGTGCCAAACAGCTGCTGGCGCCACTTGGCATGTCCACATCCCATCGTGGAAGTCCTGGGATTGAGTTCCCACTCCACTCCTGACTCCAGTTTCCTGACAGTGCACACCCAGGAGTCAGCAAGTGGTAGGTGGCCCAAGTGCTTGGGCCCTTGTCACCCCCATGGGAGACCCAGATTGACGTCCAGGCTCCTGGCTTCAGCCTGACCCAGTGCCAGTCATTGCAGGAATCTAGGGGTGACCTAGCAGATGGAAGATCTCTTTTGGTGTCTCCACCTTTCAAATAAGTTAAATCATTATTTCTTAAAAAGGGAGAGTCTGCTTCCCTGTGAAGAAAAAACACTGTTCTAAAAATCTATTAAGGTTCAAGATCAGCAGCTAACACAAAGAACCAACAGAATAAAACAGCTGTCAAAGGTAAGAGAACTAGACAAGGGGCTGGCATTGTGGTGCAGCACATTAAGCTGCCGCCCATAGTGCCAGCACCCTGTGTGGGCACTAATGCAAACCCTGGTTGCTCCACTTTTTAAAATTTTGTTTAAAGATTTATTTATTTTTATTACAAAGTCAGATATACAGAGAGGAGAGACAGAGAAGATCTTCCATCCAAAAAGTCAGTCCCCTAAGTGACTGCAACAACCCGTGCTGCGCAAATCCAAAGCCAGGAGCCAGGAACTTCCTCCAGATCTCCCACAGGGGTCCCAAGGCTTTGGGCCGTCCTCGACTGCTTTCCCAGGCCACAAGCAGGGAGCTGGGTGGGAAGCAGAGCGCCAGGATTAGAACCGGCACCCGTCGCTTCTCGGCCTTTTGGCTAAGATCGGGTGTAGAACTGGCACCCATATGGAATCCTGGCGCGTTCAAAGTGAGGACTTTAGCCACTAGGCTACCGTGCCGGGCCCTTTAAGATTAATTTTTATATTTATCTGAAAGGCCAAGTTCCCAAGAGAGGCAGATATACATAAAGACAAATTCCATCCACTGGTTCATTCCCTAGAAGGTGGGGCCAGGTCAAAGCCAGGAGCTTCTTCTAGGTCTCCCACATGGATGCAGGACTCAAGCACTTGGGCCATCTTCTGCTTCTTTCCCAGCTGCATTTGCAGGAAGCTGAATCCAAAGTAGAGCAGCTGGGAATCCAACTGGTGCCAATACAGGATGCTGGTGTTGCATTAAGCCACAACACCAGCACTCTCTTCAGCTATTCTACTTCTGATCCAGTTCTCTCTTTGTAGCTATGTCTTTCAAATAAATTTTTTAAAATAAAAACTAGAGTCATTTGGCTGCCCAGACATAAGAACATCTAGCCAACCAGGCAGTCTCCCCCAACTCCACCACAGCCCTCACCAGGATGCTCTTGTAGACACTGCCATCTTCCCCCAGCTCCATCTGGACTCGGATGATCCGGCAGTCAGAGGCTCCGGGCCCAGATCCCCCTGCCCCACTGCCAGGCCCTCTAGGGGCCCCTTCTGCACCCCCACTCAGTGGGGAGCCACAGGAAGCTGAGCGCCGATGACCACGAGAAGGCCTGGGAGAGGAGGCTGGTGGAGAGAGGTGGCTGGAGTCAGCTGGGCTGTGCAGAGACGGACTGCTTTCCAAGGCGGAGTCCAGAGAGGAGACAGATGGCCACTTCATGTGCTAGGAGCAAACGGCATGTGAGACTGCTGTGAAGCACGTGGGTGAAGGAGCACACATTCATGAGGAGGGCAGTCAGCACAGCTCACCTGAGCCAGGCGGCTCAGCAGAGGAGCAGGGGTGCCAGGTGCTTCCTCGGCCCCGATACTGGGCCTGTCCCAGGACACAAGTGGGGTGGGACCCCCAACAGAGCCCAGGACCCTACAGTGGCCGGAGATAGACAGTGTCAGAGGAACGTGAGCAGGTTCCGAGCAAAGTACCCCCGAGGCCCCGCCTGCCTTACTCTGTCCACTGGGAGATGACCAGTGCTGGCCGGAGCACTCTTGGGGCAGGAGAGTCACTGGTACCCGGTGGCTCCACCTCACAGGACACACGGTGACTGAAGAAGAGGTCACAAGCAGAGGTCAGGCAGGATACCACTCCCATAACACACATGTGTGTGGCAACTAGAGCCTGGGAGTCCCCACCTCAGCCAGCCGGTCACCTCTGGGCCTCTGTCAGCGGCCGGAGCCCTTGTAGCCACTGCTGGATGTCCGGGTCAGGTCGCAGGTCATAGCCACGACACTCATTCTGCAGCCTCCGCAACTCAGAAAGCACAGCAAACTCCTAGGAAGGAGCCTCAAACTGTAGGGGTCCAAACCTACAGCTCCTGAATGCTCCTATCCCCCCTTCCTGGGACCCTTACGAGTGGCCAGCTTCCAGTTCAGGCATGCCTCTCACCTTTCTCCGCTTGTCAAAGTTAATGTATCCATTCTGCAGGGACAAAGGAAGGAAAGAGGGGTTTCCTGACGCTGTCTTCCAGGCCAGAACCCAGCCCCTCCTGAACTCATGGATCATGTCCAACTCACAAACTCTTTCCTCACATCCATTCACCACCCAGCATCCCATGCAGCCCTTTAAATTGAGTGTCTCAGATACAAAATATGCCTGGGACAGAGAGCAATGGCTCTGTGGCTAAATCCTCACTTGTACCCACCAGGATCCTGTATGGGTGCCAGTTTGTATCCCAGCTGATTCACTTCCCATCCAGCTCCCTGCTTGTGGCCTGGGCAATCAGTAGAGGCTGGCCCAAGATTTTGGCACCCTGCACCTGTGTTGCAGACCCAGAGGAGGCTCCTGGTTCCCAGCTTCAGCTTGGCTCAGCTCTGGCTGTTGCAGCCACTTGGGGAGTGAACCAGCAGACAAAAGATCTTTTTTCTCTCCTCTCTGTATATCTGCCCTTCCAATAAAAATAAGCCTTTTTAAAAAAATAAATAAGTAAAGACACACACATACATATATACAAAAAGTGTGCCTGCTGAGTCTGGCACTGTGGCACAGCGCATTAAGCTGCTGCTTGCAATGCCAGCATCCCTCATGAGTACCGCTTCCCAACCAGCTCTCTGCTAATGTGCCTGCAAAGCAGTGGAAGATGGCCCAACTGACAGCCCCTGCACTCAAGCAGATCTGGACGGACTTCCAAGCTCCTGGCTTCAGCCTGACCCAGTACTAGCTCTTGTGAGCATCCAGAGAGCAAACCACTGAATGGAAGGTCCCTCTCTGCCTCTTCGTTCCTTCCTTTTTTTTTTTTTTTTAATTTTTATTGGGAATTCAGATATACAGAGAGGAGACACAAAGAACATCTGTCCACTGGTTCACGCCCCAAAGGGGCCACAACCAAGCCGATCTGAAGTCAGGAGCCTGGAGCCTCTTCTGGGTCTCCCACGAGGGTGCAGGGTCCCAAGGCTTTGGGCCACCCTTGACTGCTTTCCCAGGTCACAAGCAGGGAGGTGGATGGAAAGTAGGGCTGCCAGGATTAGAAATGGCACCCATATGGCATCTTTAGGCGCTAGGCTACCACTCTTGCCTTCTCTGCCTTTTTCTATAACTCTGCCTTTCAAATAAATAGTTAAATCTTTAAAGATAAAATGCCTGCTTTGTAGTTGAGAAAGCCAGGTTCAGGGGACATAAGGAACTTTACTGTCTGTGCTAGAGCCTCAGGCATGTCCTCAGCACTGAGCCAGTATGCACTCCACTTGTACAGAAAGGCTGAGTGACTTGCCAGAGAGCCAGAGCGAGCACCCCACAAGCTGGTTTCTGCCTGCGGCTGCTTAAGCCCTTACAACTGCCCTCCTATGGGGAGGTCGGCTTGCCTATGACATCGCTGGGATGTGTAACCCAAACGTACACATATACACAAGTAGTCCCCACAAGCACACCTGCCTCTAAAACCCACTCATTGCATCGCCATAATGTGCACCTCATGGGCACACACACATGAACACACACACACACACACACACACACACTCACCTCCAGCTCATCCTTGGAAGCTGCATCCAACATCACCAGGTCTTTAAGGAAGGTGCCGAGATAAGGGACCACACCCTGAAGTCAAAGATCAAGGGCACATGTTCCTGCCACTGTCCCAAAAGCTTCCCCCCTTCTGTCCCCAGAAAACCGATTTCATTCTCTTGGTTCCGTCCTACCCCTTGAGTGGCTCCCACCATGGACACCCTCTCCTCCCTTATAAGCACCTCCACCAATCACATACCCCACCCCGGGAGCCAGGTCTTGGGGTCTTCTTGGAGTGTGGCTCAAGAGGGGCCTGCAGCTTCACCTCCTGGTGGGGAAAAAAAAGAGAGATGTAAGGGAGGGCGGGGCCAAGGTTGGCCAGGGACACCAGACAGCTGGGCCTCACCTGCGCCAGCAGGCCCCTGCTCTGAGAGTAATTGTTTTCCTCAGAAAAGATGTGGCAGAGGCTGGAAAAGACTCGGAGGCTATCCCTGGAGAATGGAAAACAAGGGGAATTAGCCATTCCCACTCACAGGAGGGCCCCCTGCACCCAGCCCAGTGCCCAGTGGGCCCCACCTGGCAGCTTCCCCCCAGGCCGCCCGGAGCCGGTGGATGGGGCTGGACTGCAGGGCCGACACGACGGCGTACACCGAGGAGAAGTTCCGGAGCAGCCGGCACTCCTGTCAGGGCCCGAGAGGGAGGCCAATGCTGTGGGACCCCCTGTCTGCACCAGGGTCCCCAGCAGGCAATCCTCTCTCACCTCTGCCACGCGAATCCACTTCTCCAAGAGTCGGGCCCTCTGAGTGGGGCGGAGGGGCCGCACGGTCACCTCCCCAGGCCCTTCCCCAGTCGAGGTGGCCCCCAGGACAGAGCTGACCACTGCCCCTGCCACCTTGTTGAACTGTGTGACAGTGGCTCGGACAGATGGGCAGAGGTGCGCATGTCCTGGTCGGTCTCTGTGACCCCACAGGCCCCCCAGGCACTGAGAGGGGACCAGATTGAGAAATAGCTCCTGCAGGACAGAGGTCAAAGGTTGAAGTTCAGAGTCAAATAAGGTCAGATTTCTGGTAGTAGGGTTTGGAGGATTTGAGGGAGCGTGTGGCAGGGAACCCGAGGGACAAAGGGCTTGAAGGGCAACGGCCAAGGGGCAAGGTGAGATGGGAGATGAAGGAGGCAAGGAGCTCGATCACGAAGGGGTGGAAGCCAGGGCAGGGTCTGGGGTCCAGGAGGGGTCAGTCAAGGGCTGGGGGCACAGGGAAGGGGGAAGGGAGCACGGAGGAGGGGGACATGGGTCAGGGTCTCACCGCGTCTAGCAGGGTCAGCTGCTCGGCCAAGTGGTCAGCGAGGAACACCAGGACATCCGTAGGGTCAGCAGGGGGGTCGCCGGGGAGGGCCAGGGGCTTGGGAAGGTCGGGGGCCTGGGAGTCCACCCGGGAGCGGAGGTTGCGGAGGAGGTCAGCAGTGCCCCCCCCAACACCCTCCCCGGCCGCATACCCTGTGCGGAGCAAGAAGCTCTCAAGCCGGTCAAGTTGACCCTTGACCTCAGAGCCAAAATCCTCAGGGTGAGAGGCCAGCCAGGTTGACAGCACAGAGATGGCTACCCTAGGAGAAGGGGAGGCAGCCAAGGGTCAGAGGTCAGGCTGCAACTTGGCCTCGACTGCAGCGGTCCCGTGAGGCCACAACTCAGCTGGGGTCACTCACCCTGTTGTCCTCTCTAGTTCATCAGCAGGAGGAGACTCGAGGGCTTCCAGTCTGCAGAGGGAAAGAAAACCTTTCTCTACCCACTCTACCCACCCAGTGGCCCTGACTTCCAGCAGCATGATGGGGTTTTAGGAAATGCAGGAACCTCCATGGTTCTTGGTCCCTTCTGATCCTGACCTGTCAGCCACAAGCCCGAGCAGGGCAGACGTGGAGGTAAAGGCCCGGTGGGTGGCCAGTAAGGTTGACACGAACGTCACGTCAGCCCCGGACGTCTGGGGGTCCAGCAGGTGTCTGACCAAGGCCACCAGGGTGCCAGCTCGGAGGCGTCGGGAGGAACGTGGGGGAGGTAGAGGGACCTGGGGTAAAGAAGAGGCTCATCTGTGACCTGGACCTTCAACTTTGTCCACCTCCCTCCCCAGGGCTTGGTGTGAACAGGCTGAGTCCACACTGCTGCCCTTCCCCTCCACCCCTCCTCACACCTGAGTCTGAGACTCCAGACCCCCTGACCTAACACTCCAGCCGAAAAGCCGGGTGCAGCAGGGGAGCTGTGAGTGAAAGGGTCAGAGGTGAGAAGCTGGAGTCGGGATCTCACCGAGGGATCTGGAGGCCGATATTGGCGGCTTGTGACAGTGAAGGTGGCCCCATCTTCCTCCTCTTCCCAGACAGACACGGGGGCCTGCGGGAAGAGAGGAAAGGGAAGTGAGAGCAGTTCACACCACTGCCCACTGCTCCCAGACGGCACCCCAGACCTCCTACTCCTCCTCCCTCTGTACCCCTCACCTGTGGTGGCAGGGACCAGTACCAGCGAGTGCGGGGGGTGGGGGGGGCTGGTGACCCCAGGTCTCTCCCACTGGGGCCCAGACAGCCCCCCCCAAGCCGTCTCAGGGCCCGGCGGAGTCGAGGGGCTTGTAGTTGGGGGGTAGATGCAGTGCAAAAACTCTGATCCTGGAGATCCCCAAAGCCTCTTCCCCCCAGCGCTGAACCCCAACACAGCAGAGAGGCAGGGAGCAAAGGGCAGGGGAGGCAAGCCAGAGAGGCTGCGAGCCAGAGGCCAAGAGAAACTGAGCACCCGCCCGCTCACAGGGAGAGCCACCGCACGCCCCGCCTTCCTCACCAAGGACCCTGCCGTGGCCCCAGTCAGAAGAACCGTCCTCCCCCTGCAGCACCCCTCCGCCCCTTGATCTCGCGGGTGGGGCCTCCCTAGCTCAACCCTGAAGACCCCAAAAGTGGCAGCTCTAACCTCAACACAGGAAGCAGAAGTGGAAGTGGAGATAATGTATGGGGGGAGTGGGAAATGGACTCAGAGTCACGTGGCCCCAGTCCCTCCCCCTGCCAATCCCGAAAAACCAGCCTTGCCAGTCACCCTGCCTTCCCCCAATGTCCCGGACCCAAGAGTCCAGGGCCTCCGGGGCCCCAAAAGCAACTCCCGGCCTCTCCTGAGGCCTCAAACCCTGCTCCTGGCCGCTGCTATTTTCCCTAGGGAAAACAGGTGACCACGCGGCATCCAGCCTAGATCTCTGGCGTCCAGGTTTCAGGATCTTGGTTTAGCAGCTCCTACCTAGCCCCAGGCAAGGGGAGGAGAGGGACAGGGAAAGGGAGGGGCCAAGAAATCTGAGGGTTCCTCCCCACTCCCACAGCCGGAGGAGCCGGTTACCGTGGAAACAAACCCCTCCCCACCAAACAAAAACCCTGAGGGAGATGGGACCCAATTTCCCAGAGAGGTAGGCACACTGAGACAGAGTTAGGCAGAGAGGGCCAAGCAAGAACAGGGCTGGTCCCTGCGGCCAGGTCCTGAGTCACTGGGACACCGAGCCCCAGAGCCGCCAGCACTCCCTGCGGCGGGGCGAGCGGCCGACACCCGGCCCGAGGCGAGGCCATAGCCCAAGCTGAGCGAGCTGGAGCCGCCCGGGGGCACACACCGAGCGGAAGGCGGAGCCTCCCCAGCCCTGACGCCCCTACTTCCCACCACCCGGCTCACCTCTTCTTCTTCCTCCTCCTCCTCTTCAGCCTGCCCCCCGCCCACGGCCCGGCCACCTGGGTCCCCACCCTCTTCGGGGTCTCGGCTCCGGAAGCTGCTGAGCACGACTCCCCCGGGGGGGCTTGTGTCCAAAAGCAGCCTCAGGGGCCGCGGGAGCATGGCCGAGTGTAGGAATCAGCGGGGTCGGGCCATGGGGGGCGCCTGGAGAGAGACCGGGGTGCGGGTGGGGGGTCAGGCGGGCGCGGGGTGTAGGGGACAGGCCAGGGAAGGCACGCGGGCAAGGAGGGGGAATCTAGGTAACGGGACGGGAGCCCTGCCGGAGGCCCAGGGTAGGCGGGCGACTCAGGGATGGGCCCTGGGGGAGCCCTTGCGGTAGTCCGGGGCTGAGAGGGTCATCAGTGACGGGAGCGGGCAGGGTCACGGGGTGCTCTGGTTCTGACCTGCTCGGGAGGGGTGGGGGCAGCGTGGGTCCCGGGCCGCCGTTGCCGTCGGTCTCCGGCCCCCGATCGAGTCCCCTCCTCAGCTTTTCCGCACCCCCCCGCACCCCTCCGTCCGGCTCTCGGGCCCTCCCGCCCTTTCCGCTCCCCCCCGCGCCCGCCCGCTCCGAGAGCTGGAGCCAAAAGGGGAAGGAAGTGAGGACGGACAGGAGCCAGGGCCGCGGACTAGGGGAGCGCCGGACGCCCGGGGGCCGGGGACGCGGGAGCCCGGGGTCGCCCAGGGGCCGGGGACGCGGGAGCCCGGGGGTCCCTGCGCCCGAGTGCCCCGGGCCCCTAGTCGGGGGTTCTGGAACCCACAGTCGTCGCGCACTGAATTGGACTAAAAATACCAGTCTCCACCCCCGGGGGGTATGACGGGTAGAATTAAACATTTCCTTCTCCACAGGAAGGAGGCCAAAACTTGCCGCGTGAAGTGTTTTAGGCGAGGGTCAGACCCCGTTATTTCACGGCCACCCCGGGGGCAGGGGGTATACACAAGCCCCATTCCAACCCGGAACGGGCCGAGATCCACGCCGGGCTTTCTGCGGAGCCCTCAGCTCCCGCCCTCCGCGCGGGGGCGAGGCAGGAAGCCGCCGCCTCCGGTCCCGGCTGGGGCGCTCAGCGGTTTCCGTGGGCTCAAGGTCCCCTTTTCCCCTGGGAAGTGGGCGGCTACTTGGGAGTTAGGGGCAACCTGTGGCTTCCGAGCCCCAAACTGTTCCAGCTGGGTGGTGGGTACTGTGAGACGTTTGGGAGGTCAAGGTCGTTGTAAGGGACGGTGTGAAGGGAAGAAGGTACGTGGTGCTCGGAAATGGGGTAGACTGAGGCCCAGTTGGAAGCACAGAAGAGGACTTTATTGCCACACGATTAGGACCCGGCCGCCCGCCCCTCGGCCGCTTCCTCAGGCTCCGCGCAGCCGCTTAGGGGGAGCGCTCTCTGGCGGGTGTCCGGCTCCCACCTGCCTTGGAGGAGCCCACCCACCGGCCGGGAAGGAGAGACTAGGACTTTGGGCTTCAGCACATAAGTAGAGGGACACACGGCAGTCTGAGAAGAAAGCCCGAAGCTGGAGCCCAGAGAGGGTGATGGCTGGCCAGGCCAAGGGAACACAGCATTGGGAGCCAAGGGGCTGCATCTTGAGGCCTTGAGCATTGGAGGAGAGACACAGCCATCAGTGTAGTGAGCAGTGGGGCTGTGGGTCATCAATTAGGCCTGGAGGTGGGGCTACGCCCTTGGGGAATGCACAGGCAGGAGCCGTTAGTATGCATGTAACCTCAGAACACTGATTTACCAAGTGTGGGCTGGGTCCCAAGAGCTCCACCTCTTTTTCCTAAGGGCCTTTCATTCCAATAGCAAGCTGCACTTGGCTTTGTCAGTATGACTCTGGAGCGTCCAGTAGAGTTTCCCAGAAAGCTAATGCATTTGGGCACCATCACCCTCACAGCCAATGCAATGTGTGCTTGTATAGCTCGTTTTCAAGTACCGTAAGTATTGCTTCCAAGGGGTTCTGAGACCAAGCATGGTGAGAACCGCCATGATGGCACTCCACAAGTGCTCCAAGTAAGGTGTGTGCCTTACAAAAAGGGGAAGAGGGGGTGTCGCAGCAGATGGGAGGTGGCATCATGAGGAAGCCACTTGCAGTAGTTTGCGTCGGAGATGAAGGAGGCTGCCATGGGGTGGTGGTGCACGTACTCACTGCGTCTTCTGGGAGAGAAGGAAGAAGGAGCTGAGGAATTGGGGTGACTTCGGAAGGCCAGGGGAGGTGCTTCTCCACCCATGTGGGCCTTCCTGCTGGCCCTGCACTGAGGGCCCTTTCTGTGTTTCTGCCAGCAGCTGCACCTCTCCTTTTGTCCTGGCGGACTGCACTGACCAATAAGGGTGGCCGCTGCCCACACGTGGCCATAGTGCCTTTGGAACATAACTAGTCCCAAAGGAGCTGTGTGCTGGCTGCTGAGAACCAACACGGTGCAAACAGGAGTGCCAGTGAGGACATGTAAGATGCTCATACTGTAGATGGCACAGGTTAAAATATTCCCTGAACTGTGCCTGCTTACTTTAAAAACAAAAAAGAGTGTCTTATTCATATGTAAATTTGCATATTTAACTCCTACTAGACAGTACTGCCTAAATCAACTTTCTATTCCAATAGCCAAGGAGAGGGCCCTGCAGACTTAACAGCATGGCAGAGTGGGGCTTGCAGGTAAACTGGAGACCAGAGTAAACCCTGGTCTGTGGGAGCTCCCAATATGGGTTCCCTCTGCTGGGGTGACTGCTGGTTGAAAGGGGATAAAATGGAGGCGAAATGAGGGGTAGCAAGTGCTGTTACCTTCTCCTCTGGATCCTTGCCACTGGACAGGTAGGCAGCTGTGGAGAAAAATAGAGAAGGAATGGGCTGGGCGTGGGATGGATGTGGAGCAGAGTGGAGGGATATTGCCCAGCTAAGACCCCACACTCACCGAGGGAACCCAGCGCCTTGATGAGTCCAAGGAGGAGAAAAGCCGACAGGAACAGACCGATGCCATCTTCGAGGGAGGGCCCCGACAGGCCTGGCAAGCGGAAGGGGCTGGTGAACTCTGAGCTGTCCCCCATCCCAGGAGTTGGCCCAAACTCCATAGAGTTCCTGGCACTTACCTGCCACCTCCAGCGTGACCTCGGCTCTGCGCCCTGATGGAGGCAGGCTGGGGTGGTGGACGCGACAGACATAGCGCGCCCCATGCTGCTCCGCACTGATGGGAGGTGGCCGCAGGTGCGCCGTGAGGCTCACAGAGCCGTCGGAATGGTGGCGCAGGGCAGAGAGTGAGCTCTGCCCCTCAACTTTGCGTGAGCCACCCTCCGTGCCGCCCCGGAGCTCCCACTCAACCTCCAGGTCCTTGGGAGGGTAGAAGTGGGACACGAGGCACAGCAGCTCTGGGGGTGCCTCCCCAGGGGCGGCCCACACGAGGGGGGCTGGTGACAGGGACACAGTAGGTGGCTCTGGAAAGAAGAGGAACCGCAACAGAGTGAGTCCACCATGATCTCCTGAAGTCCTGGGTTTGCCCCCCAGCTTCCTCCAAAGGAGGCTAAGGGAACTTTGCTCTTCTACCTTGTAGAACCCTCTGTGCTCCTCACTGATGCTTCACAAGGAATCCAAGCCTGCCCTGGCCACACGTTCAGTTATCAGGGACTCATTTCACCCTCCTACAAATTTTGGAGCCTTGATCCCAAAGCCCTCTCAAGAGCTCCACCTCTGCCCACTGCCCCCAGGTTTCCCGGAATCCCCACCTAGGCCACCAGTTCCTCTGCAGCCCCACCCTTGTCACGGTATTCCTGCCCCCAATCCCAGTTCCCACCCTCTCCCTTGGGAGACTTTCAGCCCCAACTCACTGTACACAGTCAGCTCCAGGGTGACCTGTCCTTGCAGGTACGGCAGGTGGACAGTGGCCAGGTAGCTGCCCTCCTGAGAGGGCCGCACTGCAGGCAGCAAGAAGGTTCCGTTTCCCGTCCAGGGGCCTGCTGGCTCATCATCATCCCAAGCAGCAAATGCCACTGCCCCCTCCTGGGCAGCTGGCACCTGGCCATTTAGTCCAGGAGTTGCGGTCAAGAGCAGGTACCCCTTTCCCTGGTGCTGGCGTCGCCACTCTAGTCCAAAGGGAGGGGGTCCCGAGGCCACAGGGGTGGGGGGCATGTAGGCAAAGCTCAAGTCCAGCATGGCATCTTGTCCCAGAAGGATTCGAGGCACGGGGGTATGCGTGAGGACAGTCAGTACCGCTGCAGAGGAGAGTAGCACAGGCATGAAAGAGAGAAACTGGAGTTTAAGGGAGCCCAGAACTCTAGTTTTCTCAGCCCTCAGAGAACACCTCCTTTTCTTATACCTTTCCCAGACTTCCCTGCAAGTCCCTTTGCTCTGGGACAGCATGGGAGCCAGGGTAACTGAGGGAGAACCCTCTAGCATGAGGGTGAGCAGGGTTGATGAGCAGGTGCAGCCCTCAAAGCCAGCTCTGAAACAGGCACCATGAGACCCGAGGGAGTTTCTGGCATAATCCAGACTGCATGCACTGTGCTTGCGGAGCCAGGACTTTCCTGGTCCCTGATGAAGCTGTGGTTGTCCATCTCCGATGCTGTACACAGCATTTACAGACGGACTCTGCACACACATCTACGTCTGCTGGGGCAGTGTAAGGCAGCGGTGCAGTGCCTGGGCTGCAGCTCTGGTTCAGAACACAGCTCTGGGGACCAGCACTGATACTTGCAACATAAGCACCTCATATTTGCATAAGTCCTAATTGCTCCATTTTCAATATAGCTCTCTGCTAATGCATTTGGGGAGGCAGCAAAGATGGCCCAAGTACTTGGTCCCTGCTAATCCTGTGGGAGACTCAGATGTAGCTCTGAGCTCCTGACTTTCGCCCAAATCAACCCTATCTTGTTTTAGCCACTGGAAGAGTAAACAAGCAGGTGAAGATTTCTGTGTTTCTCCCTCTGTGCCACTCTTTCAAATCTTTTACATTTTTAATTTATTTTTATTAGAAAGTCAGATATATAAAGAGGAGGAGAGACAGAAAGATCTTCCGCCTGATGAATCACTCAAGTGGCCGCAACGACTGGAGCTGAGCCAATCCAAAGCCAGGAGTCTGGAGCCTCCTCTGGGTCTCCCAGCGGGTGCAGGGTCCCAAGGCTTTAAGTTGTGCTCAACTGCTTTCCCAGGCCACAAGCAGGGTGCTGGATGGGAAGTGGGGCCAGGAGGATTAGAACCAACACCAATATGGGATCCCAGCACGTGCTAACCAAGTACTTTAGCCACTAGGTTATCGCGCTGGGCCCATCTTTCAAATAAATCTTTAAACAAAAATCCAGACTCTGCAGCTTAATTACATATCCTTGGATCACTCTTCCCTGGCTCAGTTTCCTGATCTCTTAGTTATGATAAGAATATTATCAGCCTCCCGGGGTTATTGTGAGAGTAAATCACTTAATATCACTTGTCAAAATTCCCGGTTTGGGATCAGCAACACATCTGTGCCTGACTGGAATGTGGTAAGGCCAGTGATTAAACAATGTGTTCCAACACCCTCCACCTCCAACACACCCAGGCCGTCCCACGCCCACCTCTCCTGGCTCTGATGAATGTACCATCAGTCAGCCCCAGGCACCAAGGGCACTGGAAGTCACGCAGACTTTCCCCCACTCCCCATTCACTCATTCAGCATTTATTGAGCATTGTGGATGTATAAGATATCATAATGGTAGAAGAGAACAGCAGAGATGGCAGACAAGACGGGCAGTCCCTACCCTCCATCTGCCAAAAAAAACTTCATGCTGTGTACTGTCTCCACCAGACCCCACTAGATGTCACATTCAGTACTAACTTGGGCTCTCATCAACATATTTTCAGAAAATTACAACAGCTTCCTCTTGTCTGCCTTCAGTCTCTTTTCTCATCTTTGATTCCCCTTCCTTGTGGTAGTCAAACAAGGTGGCTACAAGTGCAGTCAGGCCACTGGGATGTTCAGAACTCCACACCACTCAGGAAATCAGCAGCCGAAGACACAGCTCAGTGTCCAGCCCGGATTTTAATCATCCGTGTCCTTGGATAAATTCCCTGAGCTCTGGGCCTCATGTTCCTTCATCTGCAACTTGGCGATACTGTTAGTACCGGTGTTCTATTATTATGAAGTGGAACAAAGGAGATTGTGCATATAAATGCTTAGAACAGATTCTGGTATATAGAATATGGTCAATAATGTCAGCTGGGGATCTTGGGAAAAAACTTTGGTTTATATTTTCCACGCATGTCCAATAATCTGATCTTTGCGTACTCGTTATACATATATATGTGTGTACATATAGGGTCCAGTGCGATGGTTCAATGGCTAAATCCTTACCTTGCAAGTGTCAGAATCCTATATGTGCACTGGTTTGTTCCCCAGCTGCTCCATTTCCCATCTGGCTCCCTGTCTATCACCTGGGAACGCACCAGAGAATGGCCCAAAGCCTTAGGAACCTGCATCCATGTAGGAGACTCCTGGCTCCCAGTTCCTGGCTTCAGATTAGCTCAACTTAGACCACTGTGGTCATTTGGGGAGTGAATCATCGAACGGAAGATCTTCCTCTCTGTATATCTGATTTTGCAATAAAAATAAATATATTTTTAAAAAGAGACAGGGAGAAAGAAAATATAGTCTCAAGTTTCCCTTAGTTTCTCAGACTCTAAAAATCAACTTTTTGAACTGGTGGTGAGGACCCATAGGGAGATGAAGAGTTTAACCTTTAAGAGAACAGGGTTATTGCAAGCAATTTTAGACGTGCCTCCCATAAGTCATTCCCAGAAATGCTTACTGAGTATTTATGAGGAAAATAATAGGAAGCCCAAGATGTGCTTTCAAACAATTAAAAGCAAATCATGGAGGGAGGCTAGGTAAGAATTTTGGTAAAATGTCTGGTTAAACACAGAGGGCTCCATTATCTTGTCCCTACTTTTGTGTATTTTTGAAATTTTCATTGAAAGTTTTAGAAGAATTGTGAGCATTAAACACTATGTACACAAAGTATGTTGAGAGGGCCCGGCGTGATAGCATAATGGTTAAGGTCCTCGCCTTGAATGCGCCAGGATCCCATATGGGTGCCGGTTCTAATCCTGGCAGCTCCACTTCCCATCCAGCCTCCTGCTGGTGGCCTGGGAAAGCAGTCAAGGGTGGCCCAAATCCTTGGGACCCTGCACCCGCGTGGGAGACCCAGAAAGATGTTCCTGGCTCATGGCTTTGGATTGGCACAGCACCGGTTGTTGCAGTCACTTGGGGAGTGAATTATTAGACTGGAGATCTTCCTCTCTGTCTCTTCCTCTCTGCACATATGCCTTTCAAATAAAATAAATAAATCTTAAAAAAAAAAAGTACATTGAGAAATGATAGTTGTCAACAAACATCCTATTTGATAAGTGTAAAGTCATACTAGGATTATCATGACATGAAGCCAGAGAGATTTCACTGAAGATTTTACACAAAACAGTGTTTGTTTTCAAAAATCCTTTGTCACATTGAAAAGCTTGGACACAGAACAGACGAACTTGTTTTTCCCTTTGGTATGTGCCTGCAGATATCTCCCTGTCCCAGCACTGCGGGGGGTGTCTTTCTGCCCTTCCTTCGTGGCACAAGCTACTGCACAGCCCACACCAGGACTGTCCACAGCCTGTCTTCCCGGAATGCCCTGGAGTGCTGCTCTACATCTCCTCACCTCTGTGGTCCTTAAAAGTACTGGGGCCACCCAGCAGAGTCTGACTGACCTGGTCAGGAGGTTTGGGCATATTGCAGCTTTCAATAGGATCTTTTCTAAAATATTAAAAAAAATAATTTGAAATACAGTTATATAGAGAGAATATCCCAGCTAAAGGTTCTCACCCCAAATGGCCATAACAAGTCAAGAGCCTGAAATTCTTCCCAGTCTCCCTCGTACGTGCAAGCACTTGGGCCGTCCTCCGCTGCTTTCCCAGGTGCGTTAGCAGGGAGATGGATGGGAAGTGGAGCAGCTATTCTCCAACAGGCATCCATATGGAACGCCAACACCAGCCCCTCAACAGGATTCTTATTGCTAACAGAACTAAGAATTGCTGAGCTCCAGCTTATTCATGGTGCTAATAAATGCTTATTGAACCAATGACTAAATTAACAGTGCCTCCTCTAATGTTCATAACAATGGAAAGGCAGCTGAAATTTCTATCCACACGCACAGCACAGTTGCAACTAGAGTCCATTCCTGAGCCCTGTGTGGTAGCCTAGTGGCTAAGGGCCTTGCCTTGCACACCCAGGATCCTATATGGATGCCGATCTAACCCCAGCTGCCCCACTTCACATTCTACTCCCTGCTTCTGGCCTGGGGAAGCAAACAAAGACAGCCCAAAGCTTTGGGACTCTGCACCCATGTAGGAGAACGGCTCCAGAAGGCTTTGTATGGCGCGGCTCCGGTCTTTGTGGCTGTTCAGGGAGTGAATCTTCTGACGGAAGATCTTCCTCTCTATCTCTCCTCCTCTCTCTATATCTGACTTTCCAAAAAAAAAAAAAAAAGCCATTCCTATCCCCCTGGGTGAAGCCAGAAGGTCTAGGAAACGCCTGTTCCAATGTCAAGGACCACTCTTCCCACTGGGCAGCTCCCCCGATCGCGCCTCAGCCTCATAATACAGGTGTAAGCTTGGGATGGGTGCCACCTGGATTCCCAGGTCCTGTGAGGACTCCACAGGTGCACAGAGAAAGGGAGGGTTCAGGGGCTCCATTGGGATCGACCTGTCCGCGGGGGCCGGCTCACTGACATAAAACAAAACAGGAACCAGGACTGTCCTGAGCCTCTGCTACGAAGAGCGAGAATTCCTAACTACTGGTCAGAAATCCCCTCCACCAGGCCCCCAAATATGCCGGACCCCTCCTCCCCCGGCTACTCAAACCTCCGGCTCCTGCTCATTGTCCGCCGGCTGTCCCGCACCGTTAGCGCCCGCGCGGACCCGCGGTGCGGAGAGGTCAACGCGCGTGGGAGGCCAAGGGCCTCGGCCTCGCGGTGACCGCACCAGAGACGCTCGGGGGCCGGTGTTTGAAGCCGGGGGCGCGGCCAAAAGCGGGGGTGCCTAGCAAGACACAGAACTGGGAAGCAGGGGAAAAAAGAAATTCCCGCTTCGGTCCATCTGCCCAGCAAGTGGCCGCAACCCCTCGGCCCGGAAGCCCCGCCTCGCCGAAGCCCCGCCTGCCGCTCCGCGGTTTCCTCTTTTCCCTTTCGTCTTTGCGGGGTTAGGGGCTGCAAAGGGCGGTAGCCGGACCGCTTCGCATGACAAAACACCGAAGCTGAATCTGTCCACAAAGTGAGTCACCCGCCGACCTGGACTCTCTCAGCCGCCACCCACCCTCCTGGTCCGCCCGCGCCCTCCCCAGCTACCTGTTGCCATGGTGATGAGGACGGGTTCCTGCTGAGGCTCTGGCTGAGGTCGCAGAAGGCTGGACAGGCTGAGGGCTGAGCTGGACATGCTGACCATTAGCCAGGCCCCGTCCAGGGCCCGCGGGCAGTCCGGCTCCGGGGTCAGGCGACTGGCCCAGGTGGCAGAGGCTGGGAGCGGGACGAAGTGGCTCATCTCGCAGTGTGGCGCGGGGGCGCCGCGGGGGTACCGCCTGAGGGCCGCTTGCAGGACGCCCGCAGGATCTGTAGGGGTCCAGAGCCGGAGCTGCAAAGGCCATCTCCACCTTGCGTACACTGGTGGGGGACCAGATCCTGCGGCTGGCCGGGGGCGTGGCTCCCTGGGATCGGTCCGAGAGAGGGGCTGGGAGGGCGGCTTTGGGGGGTAGGAGGATAAGTGAGGCTAGGCCAGACTCAGTTACTGAGGAGTGAACGTCCCGGCGCTGAGGAGGAGGCGCTGCGGGGACGGGAGAGGCGAAGGTGAGTCCCAGAAGACTCACCGTGCACGCTGAGGTAGAGGTTAGGGTCGAGGTCCGGCCGGGGCGGCGGTCCCCCGGGTCCGTGGCGCAGGACGAGTGCGGCGGGCTTCTTGGTGAGGCCGCCCCCGCGCTTGTCCTCCACTAACCAGCACTCGATCACCGCGGGTCCGGCGGAGACGCGGCTCGCCAGGCCTGGGGGAGATCGGCACGAGTGAGGGGCGCCAGGGTGTCGGGTGACCCAACCTGCACCCACCTCCCTCTCCCAGCTCCTGGGCAAAGACCCGGGGTGCGCTCACCCAAAGCCACAACCACGAGCAGGGACACAGGCTTCATGGCGCTGTACTCTCCTCAGATCTCAGCCCTGGTCCTCTTTCCTCTTTCACTTTCATTTTCCTTTAAAAGCTAGTAGAACCGCCTGCCTGTGGGCGTCGGCAACAGGTGCCTTCAGCCCTGGCCAAGCAGGGACCTGGGAACGTCCTCTCCAGTCCTGGTCGGCACCTCCGCCCAGCTGTGCCTCCTGGACCACCCAGTAGCGCCAAGTTTGAGCCTTTCTCAAACCTAGGTTTCCCGCACGGGGATCCAGCTGGGGATTCCCCCTCATCCAAGTCTCCCCAGAGCCCTTTTTCTAGCTTTCCCCTACCTGCACTGGGTGAACAGCAAACACACAGGGGTTGTCCGGAAGCCAAGCAAAATGACCAATAAATATTTTAATTATTGTCTAAAAAATTAAAACCTCGTATTCCTAAGGCCCACTCCCCTGCCCTCCACCCACACCCCATGAGCACTGAGTTGGGGATTCCCACTACAGAGGTGTGTGTGTGAGAGAGATGATGGCAGAAATAGGTCAGAAATGAGAGATGCATCTTGGGACCAAGGGCATATTCTAGGACAAGCGGGGGAGGGGTCAAAGATCTGTTCCCACAACACAAACACAGACACAGACTTCAGGAACGAACTACAATCATCTGACCCTTAACCCTGCAATTCCAGGATGTCTAGCCCCTCCCTTGTCCCTACCCCCACCAAGTGCTCCCTACTCTGGAGAGCTGGTGCACAGGTGTACCCCATGAGAGGAAGGCTGTGCTTAGTTCCAGGGGTGCCTTGGGAGGAAGGGGCTTAGGGGTGGCTTGGGTTGTGGATGCTGCACTGTGGCTCTGTCTCCAGAGTATGTACAAGTCCACAGCGATCAAAGGAAGACGGCATGACGGGAAGTCACCTGAGGGGCCGTGTCGGTGCCCAAAGATCCAGCCCCGTGTTCCCGCTTCTTAAGTTGCTCCCAGTAGCCTGTCCCTTCAGTTTGCTGCTCCACCCCCACCAAAGCCCATCTCCACCTTATGCACACTGGCAGGGGACCAGACTCTGCGGCTGGCTGGGGGCGTGGCTCCACTGGGTTCCTCACCACTGCCCCCAGTGGCTCCAGGGGACTCTCTCTTGGGTGGCAAGGTGGATGCTGTTGGCCCACCAGGTCCAGGTCCAGGTCCGGGTCCAGGTCCAGGACCAGGTCCGACCCCTCCCCCGCCCATGCGGTGGCGGCGCTCACAGTGCCCTCGGTGGCGCATGAAGCTGTCTCGCCACATGAACTTCTTGGCGCAGACGCCGCACTCATAGGGCTTGAGACCCGTGTGGGTCTTCATGTGCTCAGTCAGATGGTGTTTCATCTTGAATTTCTTGTTGCACACGGGGCAGTCGAAGGGCCGCAGGTTGAGGTGCATGTTCACGTGCCGGTCCCGCATGCTTTTGTGGGAGAAGGCCTTTCCACAGTGGCACAGAAAGATCTTGTTCCCGTCTCCACTGCCCGTGCCTCCGGGGGTCCCACTGGTACCAGTGGCTACACCCAGGCCCCCCGCTGGCGTGCCCCCCAGGGGTGCTGCCCCATGCTCCCCTTGGTTTCCTGGCGGCTGGCCTGGACCCTGAGAGGAGGAGGAAGAGGAAGATGGGAATACCAGGATCTGGTTGCCCTGCATGTCCAAAGGAAGGAGGGGTCTTGGTGGGTGTGAGGGGACATAGGAAGAGGGGGTCGGCCCTCCTGAGTCCTCAAGCGCTGCCGCAGGGCCTGTGCCCTCGTAGGCGCCAAAGTCATTGGAGGACTCACAGAAGTTGACCTGCTCCTCCCCCTTGTCCTGAGGCTCTGTCAGTGTCCGGACATCGCTGATGCTGAGGGAAGTCTCGGGCCCTCCCCCTGATGGGACCCCAGAGCTGCCCCCCAGCTCTTCGTCTTCATCGTCCTCACAAGTCAGTACCAGATCCTCTTCCTCCTCCTCCTCCTCCAGGTCTGGGTCTTGGGGAACAAGGGGTGCTGGTGCCGGGCCAATTCCACCCCGCTTCACATAAACCCAGTGTCTCTGTGGTACAATGCTGGGAGGGGTATAAGTGGGTCGCCGGAGCCCGGCCCCAGGAACCACTGCACCCCTGCCGTCCCCACCATCATCACATAGCTCATCTGCCTCCAGCAGCAGCTTGCCAGAGGTGGCTCCCCCGCTGCCGACCACAGGGGCTGGGAACACGGGACCACCTCCTCGCCGCTCTCCAACGCCCACTGCAGAAGCTGCAAATGCCTCTTGGGAGGAAGAGGAGAAATCCGTGGACTCCCGGGGGCTAAAGTAGTTGCTGCTGCTGGGAGACTGATTCTCGCTGGCACGGCTGGAGGCGTGGGAGCGTGCAGAGCCCATGGAGGCAGGTGCCAGGCTGCCTCCACTGCTCCCGGCCGGGACTCCGGCACCAGGGACAGTGACAGAGGTGGCGGCAGCACTTGTGACCATGGTGCTGGCGGAGGCCCGGCCTTCTCGGAGGAGCTCGGTGCACTTGTCGACAATGTGCCACATCTGGAGCACGGAGCCCACCGTGAGGAAGTTGACAATGTCAGCAGCAGCCATGCTGAGGCGGCCGGTGTAGGCGGAGGCCAAGACAGTCTCAAAGGCGCCCGGGTCCATGACACTGGGTAGCGAGATGGAAGTCATCCCCTTGAGTAGAACCTGGTCATGGAAGTAAGGGGAGGAGGCGGCCAGGACAGCCCGATGAGCCCGGAACTCGCGGCCCTGCACTCGGATGGACACATCGCAGAGCTGGCCCTGCAGCCGCTGCTGATTGAGGGATTCCAGGAGGGCACTGGTCACCTCGGGGAAGGACACGTGTACCACAGCTGCTGCCGGCAGGGGCAGTGGGGGTGGGGCCAGCGACAGAGGCAGGGGGAGTGCTGCCCCGCTGGGAGAGAGAGATGGCTCCATGGTGTGGAGGGAGGGGATACCCCCCCAGCCACAGAAGCAGAGGAAGCAGGGCGGCCGGGGGGGTCTCTGGGAAGAAAAAGAGAGAAGAAGGCTAACATCTTGTAATGACACACACCCCGTCAGCTAAAAGACATGTTTGTATGGGCCATCTAAGGAACGTAACTCCCCACAACACTGAGCAGGCATTCCTCTCAACCCATTGGGCTGATGAGGAAACCGAGCGGGATGACCCAAAGTCGCACAGCCAGTCAGCGCGGTGCCAGCAGGAGTCTCCACTCCAAGTGCTGGGAATCGAGGCGCTCCCAGGGAGTGGGGGGTCTTCTCCTGCAATCGCCCCCTATCACCCACTTGTCTGAGGGCCTGGCTTTCCAAAATGCACCTTTCTGGTGTTTTGTACTTTTTGGTTTCTGGAGCAGGCACGTCGGCTCCTCTGGTGCAGAACACCCCACCACCTCTCCCGACCCCCAGGTCTCAAGGCCACGCCCCTTCCGCCCAGGCTCACCTACAGACACGCCCCCTTTGAGACCTGCCTTGTGCTCCGCCCCCCTGGGTCCCTCCGACCCCGCCCCCGCCTGCTCCGCCCCGAGCGCTACCTCGCCCTCCTGGCGCACCCGGAAGGCGCCCCCCAACCCCGCGCGTCCCCGCTTACCGGGCCGCGCGCCCCCGGGCCCCCCCCGCCCCTCACTCGGCGGCCAGAGCTGCAGCCTGGGCCCCTCCCGCCGCCATCTTGCGCCGACTCCCTCCGCCCTCCGCCTCCGCTCCGCCTCCCGTGGCTCTGACTTTAAAGGCACAGGCAGGCACCCCCGCCCCTGCCGCTGGGCAATATTCGGCCGACTCCGCTACTTTCCCTTTAAAGAACCATCGCCTCATCCCACCTTAAAGGTGTGCGGTCCCGTCCTCCGCGGAAGACTTGGGACTGGGTTCCGCCGAAGTCCTCCTTTCCCTTTAATTCTGCAAGCCTGCTTTTTCCCATTGGCGGCGGGACGCGGCGGCCGGCGCTGCCTGGGCCCCGCCCCCGGCAGCAGGTTTGCGGGATCGGAGCCCGGGCCCGGCTTGACAGCGTCCGCGAGGCCCCGCCCCCGCCCGGCCGGGATTGGCCGAAGCGCCTCGACCCGGCCCCTGATTGGCCTTTTCTGTTCCCACTGCCCCAAGTGAGAAAGTCAAGCGAGTTTTGGAGGTTGAAGCCCATCTAAGAAAGCAAAGTTCTTGGGAGAAAGCACTGGGAGGCCTGAGAGCGAGGAAACACCAAGAAAAGAGTGTGAGGGCGGGATCCCAGCCTGACCGACCCGAGGACGGCTGACAGCACCTGCCTTCAGAGACCAGAACAGCCAAGCATACAATACAAAAAAAAAATTTATTGTTTATTAACGTTTCTGTGTAAAACTTAAGCTTCTGCATTTTTAAAAGAGATGTCACCAAAAGGGGATTCGCTGCAATCCGTCCCTTCCTTGGGCCTCCCATTTCTTATTGTCCTCCAAACATTCTGGGGGCAGGAGGAGGGGCGGCAGCTAATCCGAGTCCGACAGCACAATGATCTCCTCTGGATCGCACTGTGTGGCAACGCTCGTCTGCAGAGAATCGAGAGAGAAACCATCAAAGAGGCCGGGAATGGTGGGAGGTGAAGTGGAGGGGAAGAGGAGGCAACACGGAATGGTGGGAGCATGGCCGAGGTGCCGTCTTACCTTGCGGGTAGTGCTGCAGGCGGGCTGTGTCTGCAGGCCTTGGGCCGGCTGGGCCGGACAAGGGCTGCAGAGGGAGCTGGTCACCAGGCCGTGGCTGGGAGAATCCACCCGTGTGGATGAGTCAGCCGCTGAGGCCACAGCGGCTATGGGGGACGGGGGGCTGGGCAGGGCTTGCATCTTCCTGCTGTTCTCATTCCACGTGCCTTCTTCCCTGTCCACGTGGCTGGGGTGGGAGACAGATTCAGGTCAGAGCACAGGGAGCTGGCAGAGAGAGGAGCCCCTCCTGGTCCCCAGCTCCTACTCCAGGAGGGGTACCTGGCTCCTAGAGGCCCAGAGGCAGTCTGCTTGTTCTCCTTCCGTGATCTCTTACAGGGAGGTGGGGAGTTGCCCCAGGCCTGAGGAGAGACTCCACCATTAAAGGACGTGGAGGTGACCATGGCTGCCCCGTTCTCCAGGACAGTGGTAACAGGCTCCTCGGGCTGCTTCCTGGAAGAAGAAATGTCCCTCTCCTCAGGAGAGGAGGTGCTCTCCAGAGGCAAGGCCTCAATCTCCAGCTCAAAGAGCTGGGAGCCAGGGCTCTCCTCCACGGGCATCTGTTCGAGCTGCTCCCCACTGCCTTCGGCCTCCGGGCCACAGGGCATCATGGGCTCTGCCACCATGGCCCCTGGTGAGGACTGCATCGCTGGGAGTCCTTGGTGTGGCTGCTTCCCGGAGCACCTGCCCAGCTCTCGGCTGGGTGCCAGGTTCCTTTCAGTGGAGATCTGTGGTGGAGATGCGGGACTCCTGTCTATAGCCTTACCTGGAAAGGAAGAGGAGATGGGGCATGAGACCAAGGGTGGGGATACAGTCGTGAGGCCGCTAGGAGACAGAGGGTCTCAACAGGTGGCTCCTGCCCACAGAACAGGTGACTTGCACAGGTTCTTCCCTCCTTACCTGTCACCTCCTCCTCTTCCTCATCTTCCTCCTCCTCCTCATCTTCATCGTCCCCCTGACCTTCCTGCATTTGTTCCACATCCTCTTCTTCGGAATCTGTGGCCTCCTCCTCCTCCTCTTCTTCTTCTTCCTCCTCTTCTTCATCACTTTCTTCATCTTGTTCTTCATCTGTCTCAGCTTTGCAGGTGGTAGGGCACTCCTGGGAAGCCATTCCACTAGGACCCTGAGGGACAAAGGAGTTTCTCCAAGGAATGCCTTGCCTTAGGGGGGTCCAGTTGTGCATCCCCTCTGTATGCTCCCCCACATCAGTCACCCCGGCACCCCCAAAGGTCTCTCTGAAGAGTGCTGTCCCTTCCACACCTCACCAGAATCCAGGGAGGCCTGGGGGGAGTCTGCAGAAAGGGAAGAGGTGCCTTGGAGCCGGGCCCTTCTCTTCTGCCTCTCGCCCTCCTCACTCTCGTCTTGTAGTATTGCATATTTCGAGATGACCTCGTCTAGCCGGCTCAAGGCCAAGCTCCGGTTTTCCCGAAGGCGCCGGGCCAACACAGGATCTGTCAGGGCGGGGTCAATGCCTGTGTGGGGAGACAGGAAATCAGACTTACTCAGCCCAGACCCTGGAAGAGTCAGCGCCATCTTTCTGCCACACCCCAACACAAAGGGTCACCGATGGGCATTCCCACTGACCCTCTACCTGGCCTATAGTCATCTGTGAGGTGGCAGCCAAAATTGTAGATAAGATCGAGGTGGCGTCGCTCCTGTAACCTGATGCCCACATCTCGGAAGGCATCTTGGGCCATGAGCTGTAGCTGCTGCCGGGGGAGGCCAAGGCTGTGCCGAACAGCCGCCTTCTCCACAGCCCGCAGCACGTCTCTGTAGTCGGGGAAGGTATCGAGCCCGGGCTTGTTGATGAGCCGCTCAATGCGCCTGTTGACCTCAGGGTAGCGGGTGCCCCGGTAAGAGATGCGCTGCTCTATGACGCGGCCTGTCAGCGATGAGCAGTCCTTCAGCTCACACAGACGCCCAAACAGGCGGATCAGCTTCCGTTTCAGGCGTGACTCCTGCAGGTATGTGGAGTCTGGGTCGTCCAGTTCTGACAGATCCAGCTCCTTCTCCTGCAGCCTCCGGATCTCCGCCACATAGAGCGCCAGCAGCTGCTCCAAGCGCTGGATCTGCCGGCGGGAACCACGGGTCTTTGGCACCTCGGAGACAGTGGGTTCGGCATGTGTGGAGTCTGAGGAGTGTTCTCTGGGAGGAGTGTTCTCAGAGGGCTCACTGGAGGTGGGTGCAGCGGGAGCCAAGTTCAGCTTCTTCTTGGCTGAGTGGGCCTTGAGAACCGTGCAGAGCTCATTGATGTAGACGTAGAGTTTAGCTGGCCGGCTCCGGGCCCGTGCCAGGACCCGGGAGAGGATGTTGCAGAACTCCGCTGAGGCCAAAAACTGAGAGTGGGCACGCTGCTGCCGGTTAGAGAGGAACGGGACCACCTCAGGGTGGTCCGTGGTCTGTGTCTTACATAGTTCAAGGAACTGGAGGGTTCGGGGGAAGAAGAACAGGAAGGGGCAAAGAGACAAGGGAGGGGGTTGAGAAAAGGTAAGGTATAGTTAGTGGGGGAGGAGGCAGAGAGAGCAAGTCAGCCATCCCCCTCCCTGCTGTCCAGCAACCTTCTCCCCTAAAGCTCACCTCTGCAAACAGCTTCTCATTCTCCAACTTGTAGCATTTCTTGCCGCCAGAACTACAGCTTCCTCCGGCCCCATTGGGCTCAGAAGAGCCAGGGCCGTCTGCCTGGGGTGAGGCCGGATTGGGGGGTGGGTGAGAGGGCCCTGGCTGAGCGACTGCTTCATCTTCATCATCATCGTCCAGCACAATGATGCTGTTAGTGGTAGCCATTGAGGGATCAAATCCCTTGGAAGGAGGAAGTGGTGGGGATTTCGGAATTCCTGCTGGAAGGGGATGGGGCCTCAGAACGAGCCCCTCCAGCACTACCCGATCCCAGCATCTCCGTCTCTGATCTCTTTGGGTTCCTGCTCCCCAACCCTCACAGTGTCCTTACTGTCTGTCTGCCACAACCATCAGTGCTAGATGCTTTTTCGGGGCCCTTCAAATGGCCCAGGGCAGGGCCCCCAAACAATAACTCACCACACCCAGCTCCACCCATCACATTGACTTCCGGTCTCTGCATAGTTGTCAGGTTGGCTCCTCCAACCCCAGTACCACTTCCCCAAACACCCATGACACTCTCTCACCTAGACAATATGCTAGCGTTGGCTACCTCACGTCCATCCCCCGGCTTCCTTAAACATGTCAAACCCACACCTCACCCAGAATGATTTCAATTCCCAGACAGTCCAACAATCCCTTCTTCTTTCCCTTCCTTGAAGTATCTTCACATCCCGTCCTCTGATAGGATTCCTCAAACCGGGGCATTCAGGGGAGAGGCATGTCACCTCAGTCCCCTCCTTCTCACTCCACCCTAATTCTACTCATTCGGCTCTCTGACACTGGGAGCCGATCGTGAGCTCCCTCCCGGCCCCCGACCTGGGCTCTCTCGATTCTCCTCAGTTCCACCCCTTGGTCGGGCCGGTAAGGAAGGTAAGCTTCCCGCCAAGCCCTCCTCCCTCAGGTCAGACCCCAGCCGCCCCACTCCCCTTCACAGCCAGACAAGAAGCATGCCCCTCGGACTGAGTCCGGGTGTCCTCAGCACCTCTCCCTCGATTGCCCCTCCCCAGCTTCGCTCCACACATAGTCCGGCCCGCACCTCAGAAACGGTCTCTCAAGACGACACTGGCCGCAGATCTCAGAACCTCGCATGGTTCCCTCCGCCTGCCCCCTCCCACCGCAGGCCTTTCTACACACCGGAAACCGCAGAGTTTCCGTCTCCAGTCAGCATGCGTCGCCATGTTGTTGTACGGAGCCCGGTCAGCTTGTTTCCGGAAGTGGCTGTAGGCTCTTCCCCTCCTTTAGAACCGCCCTCTTAGCCTAGGATTCCCTTCCCCACCAGACCTGTAGGGGGAGGGGCGGAGGCGGGGCTTTGTCCGCCCCGCCCCCACACCCGGGGCATCCCAATGGGGGCCGCCATTTTGCGTACGGCCCCGACCCGGCCAGGCCTTGAGTCCCCAGCCTGGGGAGCTCTTTTCAACCGGCGTTTCTGGGATTCCGCCAATCAGAAACTTGCTACCTCGAGCCCAACCGCCCGTCAGTCGCGTGCCAGGAGGACTGACACACTTTCCTCCCCCCCTCGGAGTGGGAGGGGCGGGGGTGTTGCGGTGCAGGGCAGGTGAAGACCTGGGGGCGCCGAAGCAGTGAGGGGCTTCAGGAAAGGTCAGGAACGTCTTAAGTAGGAAATAAAACCTTTTTCTTCCGCTGGGCTTCAGCGAGGCTTCCGGTCCTGCGTCCCTACCAGCCAGGTGCGGGTTTCTCTGGCTCGGGTGGGTGTTGCAACCCTGGTCCCTGGCTGCCCAGTGCTAACTTCGGGTGGTTAGGTCTCCCGGCCACGAACTCGCTCACGGTTGCGAACGAATGAATACGGTCCGCTACGTGCAGGTGGTGTTGGTGTTGCTATTGTTATTGTGATTGACACGCTTTCCGAGCTCCACTTTAAAACCAGGGCTCAGCCGCAGTTAATGAGACCGGAGCTCTGCGCTCAATTCGGGGGGGATTGCTCACGGCCCCGCGGTGCTGGCTTCCTGAGGTTCCGGAGCCTGAGCACGGTGGATGGATGAAAGCCAGGGAAAGCTGTGCCGATTGCCTCTGCGAGTGAGACACGGGAAGCCTCATAAAACACGATCCTGGGCCCCGGTGCAAGTGCTAATCCTCCCCCTAAAGATTTATTTATTTATTGGAAAGTCAGATATACAGAGAGGAGGAGAGACAGAGCAAGATCTTCCGTCCAATGATTCACTACCCAGGAGCCTCTTCCGGGTCTCCCACGCGAGTGCAGGATCCCAAAGCTTTGGGCTGTCCTGGACTGCTTTCCCAGGCCACAAGCAGGGAGCTGGATGGGAAGGCAGGGAGCTGGATGGGAAGCGGGGCTGCAGAGATTAGAACCGGCGCCCATATGGGATCCCGGGCGTGCAAGGTGAGGACCTTAACTACTGCGCCATCGCGCTGGGCCCTAATTACACTCTTAAAAAGAAGAATCATCCTATTGTTAAACCCGGGGGGGGGGGGGTCTAACGGTTACGGACCCCGAGAGTCGCCACCCTAGAGCTCAAGAACCAGGTCAGAGGCTGCAAGAAGAGGATTTTATTGACGTTCGCGAACGGACCCCTACTCCAACAGGGAGAGAGAAGCCCTGAATTCCGGGGGTGCAGGTATTTTATAGGCACACACTACAAGCTTAACATACTTTTGTGGCAGGCCTTAAGTTTTATGGCCCATTCTATTGTCTACCCAGACCCCTTTCCCACAGCCCGGGCCTGTTACAGTTTTATGGCCCTGTTCTGACGCCCGACCCAGGATTATCTGGGCCCATTTCTCAGGAAAAGGAATTCGCTTGTCAGGAAACCGAAACCGAAACCCAGACCCTCTTCCTACAGCCCGGGCCTGGTACTGCCTTCTTGTCTCTTATCTCATCTTGCCAAGCACATGTAGAAGCCATGAAAGCATTAACCCTTTCTTTCTCTCTTTCACTATCTCACTTCTCCCCAGTTGTCTAAGCCCACATCCTTCAAGTTGAGGAAGAATGAAGGTCTCCAAAGATTACTGGGATTTGAGAAAGAAAAAGGATTTTATTTTCAGATTCTCAACTTTCCCAAAATCGATTCCAGAATAAATGCCTTCAACAGACGGTCTCCCTCTTCCTTCCTCTTTGCAAGAACTTTCTCCAAGTTAAAAAAAAAGTTCACAACCAAAGTTTTCTGGGCAATCTTATCTGGCTTAAATAAAAAGACACGTGAAAAAAATAAAAATAGAAAAAACATGTGGTCTATCTTAATGAATCATGAACACAAATCTTTTTTCTTACTAAAATTTTCCTCATGATCATTACAAAAATTTGCACAATTGTATGTGATTTGATTAATTCAGTTTTCATAATTGTAATGATAATAGTCTTTTAAAAATACTTATTTTCATTTGAAAAGCAGATTTTCCAGAGAGAAGGAGAGACAGAAGAGAGATCTTCCATCCACGGTTCACCTCCCAAGGGACACGAACCGAGACTTCCGTAGAGGATCTTGACAGGAGGTGAGGAATTTAGCCACTCCAAGCCAGGCCCATAAGTAAACATTTTTAAAAGTCTTGGGAAAATGTGGAAACTGTAGTCTTACCCACTTTCCTTTAGCCCTTGACCCTTTGTGCCCTAATCAACTATGTAAAGATTATCAAAATTAAAAAAAAATTTAAAAAAAGTCTTGGGAAATGGGATGGTAGAAGTTCAAGCTCAAGAAGACAGAAGAGGAGAAAAAGAAGAGGAGGAATTGTTCCCAGTTGTTCAACGTTTATTTTAAAAGGCTGTTGACAGAGATCAAGTCCAAGTAATGTTTCTGTTCCCTCAAATGCTCAAAAAGGTGATTGTTTTAAATTGTGAATATTTGAACATTTAAAGAATTACATCCTATAAACTATGATCAATTTAAAAATTCATGTTCAAAGGTTTCTTTGAAAGACAGAGTGAGCAGGAAGGAAAGACACACAGAGAAGTCTTCCAACTGCTGGTTCCATCCTAAGTGTCCACAAGGCCAGAGCTTGAGCAGCTCAAGCCAGAAGCCAGGAACTTCATCTGGGTCTCACACATAGGACCTAAGTACTCGAGATCATCTTCCACTGCTTTCTTTCCCAAACGCATCAGCAGGAAGTCAAGTCAGAAACACAGGAACTGGGACTTGAACCAACAATCTGTAGGAGACATAGGTATCCCTTGCAGGGGCTCCGCTGTTGCATCACACCACCAACCCCTATGAGGAAAAGTCTCAGATGGCTATCTACATAAAACTATTTGAGGGAAAGCAAAACAAAAAGTGTCTATACAGCAAAAGTAACAATATCGGAATGAAGGGATAGTTCGCAGAATGGAGAAAAATGCTTGAAAACTATTCATCCAATAATGGATTAATATCCAGATTCAAACTATACATGGTAAGGCATAGACTCAGTCTAGATGTCCAGTAGTGAATGAATGGATAAAGCAAATGTAGTATGTAGACACACAATGGAATATTGTCTAGATACACACAGAGAGAATGAAATCCTGTCATTTTTATCAACATGAACAAGTTGTTGTGTTAAGATAATCCAGGCACGGAAAGACAAGGCAAGTTATAGTTCATTTATGGAAGCGATGAACATCTGTCTTCCGGAAAAGAAGCAGACAGTTACTGGGCAGGGTACGGAAGAGACAGAGACAGGCAGGTGATTAAGGAGAAGATGCCGATGGAGAGGAGGATTAGATTCAAGTGTTCCAGAGCACAGTAAGGCAAATACAGTTAATAATAATACATTTTCAAAGTAGCTAGAAAGGATTTTGAGTGTTTCCAACCCAAATAAATTATAAATATTTCAAACCATGGGTGTTTGAATTACTCTGCATGGATGGTGCACATTGTAATACGTGTGTCAAACCATATAGTACCCCTTGAATATGTACAATTATTACATATCTTTTTTTTTAAAGATTTATTTTTATTATTTCTTTATTGGAAAGGCGGATATACAGAGAGGAGAGACAGAGGAAGAGCCTCCGTCCGATGATTCACTCCCCAAGTGAGCGCGACAGCCGATGCTATGCTGATCCGAAGCCAGGAGCCTCTTCCGGGTCTCCCACGCGGGTTCAGGGTCCCAAAGCTTTGGGCTGTCCTTGACTGCCTTCCCGGGCCACAGGCAGGGAGCTGGAAGGGAAGCGGGGCTGCCGGGATTAGAACCAGCGCCCATATGGGATCCCGGGCGTGCAAGGCGAGGACCTTAACCACTTGCGCCACCGCGCCGGGCCCTACATATCTTTTGAGAGGTATGATAGATAACATATTTTTCCAAAAATTTCCCTCAGAGAACAAGGATTGAAGTTTAGGATTCTGACTACATCTATATGTCCCCATTCACAACTAGAAACAACCCCATTTCTCTCCTGTCCCCTCTCTCACCTCTGTGGCAGGCAAATTACCACGATGTTTACAGGAAAAGTGGTCACAACTCCAGCTCTTCCTCCTTCAGAGGTGTCCCCAAGAGCCAGTCCCCAAACTTCGCCCATGGTAGTGGCCAGAGAAGTTTGTAAGCGGCCTCGAGCATCAGCAGGGTGAGAAAGAGGGCCAGGAAGATAAAGAAGATCTTATCCAAGACCTGCTGAATGGGTCCCCTGGGAGGAGTGGGACCCCGGGCAAATGCTAGAAACACATCCCCTTCGTCCACGTCCATGTCGCCTTCTTCCTCAGCCATAGTAACCCACCTTCTGACAACTGCTGGCTGGGAGCCCTTGCTCAGCACAGCCAGGATTAAGGGGCACAGCTGTGGCCAGCACTGCACCAGCTGATCCTGCCCTAATTAGCATCCCAGTGAGGAGAGGGGTATCCTAGCCTTTAGAACAATTATTTAGTCATTCAGTGCCATGTGAGAAGTCTAGAAAAAAAACAGAGTGAAAATCTGTGATCTGAAAGCCATTCTAGAAACGTGAACTGGAACTGCAGGTCACTCCAAGGCCATCAACTCCAGAGAGCTCCCTACAGAGGCTCAAGTACACTACCGCTGGAGGGGTTCTGTCCTGGCTCTGAGTTGCCTATGCCCTAGGTACTCTGTTCTTAACTTCTAGTCCCAGCTGTGACAGGGAGAGCCGCAATTCGACTCCAGAAGGCGAGGATGTAAAATACCAACAGAAGGGATGTGGCTGGTCAGCGGGGCAATGAGGCTTGCTTGGGGCTGACCGTTGGGAGCAGTTACAAGGGAGCAAGGTTCTGGGCTGGAGTGGCAGTCAGAGGTCCCAATGCAGGGGAGAAGGGACACTTTGCAGCAGAGTGTCCCAGGGCATCCAAGTTTATGCTGATGAGGTGGAACATCACCCTCCTCTCCATCCCCCTCCGTGGGGTTAGTCCCTAGAAAGACTCAAGGATTAGAGGATTAGTCCAGGGTGAGACTTGCCAGCCTGCCCCACCTATTCCAGTAGGCTCAGGGAAGCTGCAGGCGCAGTGCGATCAAACCCTGTGGCTTCTGGGAGTCAGGATGGTGGATTCCACAGCGTCAGCAGCGACGGTTCCTGCTCCCTGCTGACCTCACCACCTGTACCTTTGCTGAAGTATATCAAAACAGTTAAGTCTAGCTATTTATTGCCTATATTTAGGGTTTCCATTGGTAAGCTGGATATGGTTGGCTAGGAGCCTCTTCTGGGGCTCCCAATGAGTGTAGGGTACCAAGGATTTGGACCATCCTCCACTGCTTTTCCAGGCCATAAAGAGATAACTTGGAAGTGGAGCAGCCAGGATTTGAACCAGTGCCCATATGAGGTATAGACACGGCAGATATTGGATTTAGAGGCCACCATACTGTGGGCCACACACACATTAGGGGCCACACAGAGAGAGAGAGAGAGGGAGAGAGAGAGAATTTCCATTTGCAGGGTTACTCCCCCAATGACTGCAATAGCCAGGGCTTGGCCAGGACAAAGCCAGGAGCCAGGAAATTCTTCCAGGTCTCCCACATGTGTGCAGAGGCCCAAGCACTTGAGCCATCCTCCGCTGTTTTCCCCAGCTTAATAACAGGGAGTTAGAAAGTGTGTGAAAGAATCAAGATGGCGGAATAGGGTAAGGACACGTTTAAACAGACGGAGAAGCATTTAACTAGAATGAAGCAGAGAGGACATATTTCAGGAAATACGAAAGGACAGAACAACAGCAGAGGGGTACCTGGAGACTGACAGACACAGGAAAGCAGTGGGCACAGCAGTGTGGTGTTGCAGTGAATGATATTCCAGCACGGCGATCTAAAGTCCACCAGCAGCCGGAACTCCACCAGCAACCAGGTCCGTGTGGCACCCAGACCTAGCGTCCAACAAGTTCCAACAAGATCAGCGTCACCAACAACCTAACTAGATAGGACACCTGGTGTCTCTTTATCCTGGAAACCACTCCAACCAGAAGACGGAAAAAGGTTGCAGAGACAACAGTGCAGCCTCAGCACGGTATCACAGGAGGTGGAGAGTGGTGAGTCAAGAGCTGGGCTGTGGAGACCACGGTGGATATCTGACATAAGAAGCCAGACCTGGAACTCGCTGGAGGTTGTGGCACAAGTGGCTGCAAGCAAAAAGTTGTGTACCAACTGCGATAAGTAAAATCGCATTGTAGACCTGTGGGTGACACAGCTTAGAAACCTGTCCCAAGGAGAAGACTCTGCTAACCAGAAGTACAATGATCAAGAGCAAAAGAAGAGACAAAGGCACAATGAATATTACTGAAAACTCCCTTGCAAAGGAGCAAAACCCTATGGCAACCTCAGAGTTAACTGAGGAAGACATAGAGAAAATGGGGGACACAGAATCCATAAGACTCATTTTAAAGATTCTGGTCAAAAATGAGAAGTTAATGCAAGAGTTCAAAGAATTTAAGGAAGCAGTAAAGGAAATCAAGGCTGGTATATCAGAAATTAAGAACACAGTAGAGCAAATTACAAGTACAGTGGAGAGTCTCCAAAATAGAATGAAGCAAGCAGAAGAAAAAATCTCAGAATTGGCAGATATCTCCTGTCACCAGGGGGAAGCAAACAAAAAGCTGGAAGCAGAGCTGGATCAGGCCAAAAAAAGTATTCAAGAATTGAAAGACACTATTAAGAGGCCAAATATAAGAGTTATGGGAGTCCCGGAAGGTGCAGAAAGAGAAGCTGAGTTTGCAAATGTATTTAATGAAATAATCAAGGAAAATTTCCCTAATCTGGAGAAAGAATTGGGAAACAAGATCCAGGAGGGACACAGAACTCCCAACAGGCTTGATCAAAAGAGATCTTCACCAAGACATATGATTATCAAGCTCTCTTCAATGAACATAAGGAAAAGATCCTTAAATGTGCACGTGAAAAACATCAATTGACATATAAAGGAAGGCCAATTAAGCTCACAGGAGATCTCTCACAGGAAACTCTACAGGCAAGAAGAGAATGGAGTGACATATTCCAGATTCTAAAAGAAAAAAATTGTCAGCCTAGGATAACATACCCTGCAAAGCTTTCTTTCATCTTTGAAAATGAAATAAAATTTTTCCATAGTAAAGAAAAGCTAAAAGAATTTGCCTCTTCCAAACCTGCTCTACAAATGATACTTCAAGATGTTCTCTTGACAGAGAAGAGGAATAGCACCTACCAAAACCAAAGGCAAACGGGAAGAACATCCCAGTAAAATGACAACAGAAGACTAAATCAATGAACAACCCATTCCTAAAATTACAGGACCAAAGTACCACCTATGTATATTTAACTCTGAATGTAAATTGCTTAAGCTCAATCAAACATCATAGATTAGTAGACTGGATTAAAAAACAAAACCCATCTGTTTATTGTCGGGAGGAGACACACTTCAACAAAGATCAGCGGAAACTATATCACATGGGTTTTGTTGTTTTCTGTTGGTTTCATCTCTTTAAAACACTTTCTTCTGATTAAATCATGCCATGACTCGTAGATCATGCAGTGGCATCATTTTCTTCAAGAAGGTTCTTGATTTTCACTTCTTCAGCTACACGTTAGGCATTTAATAGCATGTTGTTTAACTTCTTGGTGTTGTTAATTTCTTTTTTCTTCCTGATGTTGAGTTTGTTTTGTGGCTCTTCATTTAAGGGAAGGTAAAGTAGTTGTGTAATGGAGACTGTCATATCTAGTAACATGTCATTTAACTTCATGGCATTGTAAATTTCTATTTTTCTTTCTATTGTTGAGTCTGTATCATGACTTTTCATTTAAGGGAATGTACAGTAGTTATGTAATGGAGACTAATAACCAGATGTGAGGATGCAGTGTGGTCGGCATCTCTGTTTCCAGACAAAGATGGACTTACAGTGAAACTGTTTATATTCATTTTGACAATAGGATTCTGGACTCTGCCATTGTCCATGCCCGCAATGATGAACATATGACTGAATATGAAGAACTATATGTTAATAATGATATAAAGGAACTGGGGGGGGAGGGAGTTGGGGAGGGGATAGGGGAATATGGAACTGTATCGTAAAATGATAGCAATAATAATAAAATGTGAAAAAAAAAAACCTGTGTGAAATCCGGTCACAAAATGAAGTTACTTTGGTTAAGCCTGAATAGGTTTGCTAACTTTCTCTTTATGCTTCTGTACAAAATGCTTTGCCAGTTTCCTGCATTTTGGTCCAGATCACAAGGCTGACATGCCCTGCCAGCAACCTTCGGTTCCAGGAATCAATATCACATGATTTATTCACTCATTGTTTCTATGACTGCCTCCTATGGCTGCTGGAGCCCACCCTTGTCCCAACGCAGCCTCCTGTGGCTGCCCAACTCACCTGGTTCGCATGGTTGTATAACTCAATCTTTCTATAAAAACCCATCTAACCCCACTTCAGGGTCACTCTCTGAAGAAAAGGAGAGCTGGCACCAGCCAGTTAGTCTGTTTATCTGTCTCCTCAATAAATGTTGCTGCTTTGCAGAGTTGTTGGGGCAGCACTTCTCCGGGAGAGGCTCGGTTGATGTAACAAGTGGAGTTAGGAGTGGAGCACTCCAACTGGTGCATCTATGGGATATAGGCAATGACTTAACCCACTGTGTTATAGCACTGATCCCTCTATTCTATTCTTGTCTTGTCTTTTCTCTTCTTTTGGTTGCTGTTTTTAGATTTGTTTATTTTTACTTGAAAGGCAGATTTACAGAGAGGAGAGACAGAAAGATTTTCCACCTGCTGAGTCACTCCCTAAATGGCTGCAACAGCCACAACTGAGCTGATCCAGAGCCAGGAGTTTTTTCTGGGCCCCTCACACAGGTGCAGGGTCCCAAGGCTTTGGGCCATCCTCGACTACCTTCCCAGGCCACAAGCAGGGAGCTAGAATGGAAGTCAAGCAGCCAGGATATGAACTGGTGCCCATTTAGAATTGGCTCTTGCATGGTAAGGAATTAGCCACTGAGCCATTGCACCAGGCCCATTAAGTATATTTTTGAATAATTAATTTTCATATCTTATTTGAAAAGTCAGAGAAAGAGAGAAACTTTCCATCTGTTATTTCACTTCCCAAATGCCTACCATAGCTCCTGGACCACACAGACACCAGTGGCCCAGAACTTCAACACAGATCTCCCCACTGGCAGGCAGGGATCCAGCTACTGAAGCTGTCACCTGCTGCCTCCCAAGGTGTGGTTTTCCGGGGAATTGGGATGGAAAGCATTCTGCTATGTGATGTGGGAGCCCCCAGCATCATGTGAACTGCTGTGCAAAAGTCCAG